TTACGGCCCGGAGAGGCACACCCACCCCGCCCTCCTCGCCCAAACCTAACACAACATTTAAAAAAAAAAAACAACGGGGCAGCAGGGTCTGTTGGACACAGCATTCATTGCAGGGGTTCAGTGTCCAGGGTATATGAACTATTTATCCCTTTTCAGAAATATGATCTTAAAGCTAAACACAGCTTTCACAGTTCCAGAACAGCACACTACACACACACTGATTTCTAGGCTGGGAACAGTCGCAGTTACTAAATAACCCCTGAAAGAATGTGGCGGCATATGTTTTTTCTTTCTTTTTTAAAATTTGCATAGAGTACTCAATCAGTCATCCCCATGTTGGATGCGATTTTTCGTTATCTGAAGCCCCACCTTGGCTATTGCCGGAGGCTCTGGATATAGCCGGGCCATGAATGTGGCAATAACGACTAAAAGCGGTTTGTGGGACCTTTCCACGGGTGATCCTCATCTGCATAGTGACACTTTGTGTCACCTGGTGTTTATCGCTTGTGTGATGTCCTGGTGGGATTCAGCAAGCAAGTAAGCATTGAGTACTGAAGATTGCAGTTTATATTGTCAACGAATGCTTCCTGGCAACAGCATGCCGAGAAGGATGAAGACAGGTATGTTCCATGCAGAGGTCCCGGTTAGCTAACGTCTTTTGGATATCATCACCAAGTTATGCCGATGATGAGACTGGCTGGTTTTACACCATCTGAAGGTGAACTGATGCATGACCAGCCAGGTGTTTTAAGGATATGAGGACTGATGCACGACCAGCCAGGTGTTTTAAGGATATGAGGACTGATGCACGACCAGCCAGGTGTTTTAAGGGTATGAGGACTGATGCACGACCAGCCAGGTGTTTTAAGGATATGAGGACTGATGCACGACCAGCCAGGTGTTTTAAGGATATGAGGACTGATGCACGACCAGCCAGGTGTTTTAAGGATATGAGGACTGATGCACGACCAGCCAGGTGTTTTAAGGATATGTGGAAGCAAAGGAACAGTGCAGAAGTGCGAATATAATAAAGTAACAGAAAATGTATTAATCGACACTCATAGAAGAAACAGAAAGATTGACGAACACATTAGACAACATACAAATCGAAAACTATAGTTACCATGCCAGGAATCGAACCTGCCCCCCCCCCCCAGATGGCGTGTGCGCCTCGCTATGGAAACAAGTGCACTAAAAGCATGGTCAACTAGGCACCCCCCAAAAACGTCTCTTTTTTGGCCATGTCTATCGTACAGCTTGAAATTCACAACTATGGAATACAGACATAAATTCATTTCAAACTATTGAAATGGCACCATAGGTTACAGGCATCCCCTCTAATACTAACACCAGTATTTAACAGTTTGGGAGACCGACAAATGTATTGTCTATGGCACATATAGATGTGTGAGGTACCAATAGATCATCACAGTCTGAGGAGAATGGTCCTGCGAGGAGTGGCCAGGGGATCTGGTCAACACTCAAAACTCAAGGCAAAGACGAGAAGGATGTACAATCAGACTGTTACTGGTGCCATGGGAATTGGAACTCTGTGCTTGCTGCAGAAGATGGCGATGGTGCGCTTATAGGAATGTTACACGTGCTGTTATGTCCCAAATTCAACCCGCCTAAAACTAACTTAATGCAATAAATACTTAGAAAAAAACTTTAAGAAGTCTTTTTTTCCTTCGTCATCATCCTTTTCCTCTTTCTAATTTTATTTAAATTCATTTTTCCTCTCCTCTTTTCTGCATTCTTGTTTCACCTCTCTTCCTGGATTATCATAATCATCATCATCACCATTGTCATCAGGGCGTCAGTTCAAGACAACCCCCCCCCCCCAAATGCCGGTACTAACCTGTTTCTAAACAACACTGCTTGTGAATGGCCTGGACCTTTGCCACACCTTTAGGCATATTGAGGATATAGTATTAGAACTATATTTTCAGACCAATTGGCACTTAGTGGGTAATGTGGTAAACATCACACTGGCCACCTTTACTTCCCAGAACTTTACCTGGTACACATTTTAGGCTGGGTCAACCTGGAAGTGAAGGTAATTTCTGAAAAAAGTCCAGCTTTGTTTAAATTTGAACCCACCACCTTTGGATCCGCAGGTAAGCATCTAGTCACTGCGCCACAGTGGCTCCCGGAACTCATTAGTCTGCCCAAAAAAGTTGCTTGTACTCACCACAAAGTGTCTATTATAGTAACCTGAAAACAATGATGTCTAACAAAAAAGGTACTGCATACCTCTAAGGAAACAAATCTTGACCATCATCATTATCCCATCATCATTAGCTCCCTCTTTCTTTACATCTTCTTCTTCTACTCCTCTTTATTCATCTTCTTCACATTTTCTTCTTCTTCTCCTCCTCACCTTCTTCCATTTTCTTCATGTGTCAGGTCTGGATCAATGCCCTCTAATCTTTTCCTCTGCTTGATAGTTTTATAAAAACACTAGATTTGATTGCCTCCCTTTGCCCGGGACAGTGAAAGAAAGTCTTATTCTCCCATCCTCTATCTCATCTTGGTCTCCATCGCCGTCCTATATTTAGGCACTGCGGAAATAGGGGCCTGACTAAAACCCTATATTTGATATCCCATCTTCTACTTTATCTTTTTCTAAAAAGGTAAAAGTTTTAAAATTAATATCATGAATGGGTCAAGTAGAAAGCAATTGATGTCACTGGTGGTACAGGATTAAAAAAAAAAAAAGTGAATATCGCAGTATGTCTACATAGTTTTATTCTAATACACGCAACCAAAAGTTAAAAAAAACAAAAAACTATCTTTTTCTCCACCAACGCCGTATCTTCAGTCATTTCCTCTAAGTTCAGCCGAGGCATCCCCTGTAATATTAACACCAGTATTTAACAGTTTGGAAGACAGACAAATGTATTGTCTCTGACACATACAGATATGTGATTTCTAGGAAGATAAAAGTGAAATATAATTTTTAAAAATTACAAAATATTCAAAGGAATATAACTCCAGTGAAAGTTTACTTTTACTGATTATTGTAATAAATATAGAAATGCACAATAACCTGGGCCATCAATGTGACTTTTAAATTAAACACTATAATCATAAAAGCAAATGAACATTTAACCGGTATATTGCCTTTTCTCATGGAGAGGTGTAAACACACAAACTGATAAACACAGTTGTGGATCGCAGACAGTGGAGAGGCATGATTGCACACGCACATCGGTAAGGCACTAGAATGTTGAATGTTTTATTAAGAATCAACATCACAACACTCGGGATACTCCCATAAGTGCTCAGTTCCCATCTTCAGCAGCAAGCAAAGAGTTCCAATTTCGATGGTACCAGTAACCGTCTGATTCTATATCTGTCTCATCCTTCCCCTGAGTGTTGAGCATCGGCCAGATCCCCTGGTAACTTCTTGCAGCGCCATTCTTCTTAGACCGTAATGATCTATCTGCGCCTCCACACTGTTTACTCACTCCAAAAGGGCCCTCACAATATCTAACTTGTCATATACCAATTCACCATCAAGTGGTGCAGAGCCAGCCAGTCTATCTGCCTGCTCATTTCCCAACACACCGGCATACCTGGAGAAAATATTCAAAGGGCGCTAACTACCCAGGACCTCTGAAGTGATGCTTGCCACTCTGCACGAAGCCTGCCTGTTTTCACATTTCTCAACATGCTCTGTGAGTCAGTTAAGACACTAGAAGATGATGACTGGTCATGATTCTGGAGGAGTTACCACTTCATTTATCGCTTCTTGACATTTTGATTAGGATCAAAGTGTAGCTCTGCTGCACTGGACTGGCCAAAGGGACCAGGATCGGTCATTAACCAAGTCACAGCATGAGTCATCTCTAAAAAAAAGACTCATACCCAGCGGTCTTTCCGTTAAGCCTGGGATTACCGACGAAATATCCTTTGGTTAGTCAGGCGGCCAGGTTGGGCATTTGATAGACCAACCAGGTTTAAAAAAAAAAAAAACTATATTTATAATAAACACATGAAAAACAGATGATTTATAGTGATTTATTTTTTACATAAAACTCAAGAAAACCTACAAATTCATTGTTCACTTCAAAGACAACATACTTTTTATGAATTCTTCTATACAGATTACTGTGATGTAAACTTACTATATACAGTTTGTTAATTTCACTCTTTCTGCCTTATAAAGTCTCTTACATAAATTCTTGAACTAAACATCTAATATTTTAAATTAGATAGTTTATAAAACAACAGTTTTAAGTAACAACCTTTTTGAAGCTGTCAGATTTAGCAACTTTTTTTTTAGGGCAGTGTAGGAAAGAGGATCTTGAGCCTCAGAATTTGGGGCACAAGGCTAGTGGAGTCACCATGGACTGTGAAGGTTAGGATTTTTATTTATCTGCTGAAGCAAAAAGTTTCTAACAAAAGGTTTCTATCAGGTTTCTAAGCATTCAAAACTGGCTCTCCTGCATCACAGCTCAGTATTTTATTCAGTCAACCTGTCACTCCTTTTCACTGTCTTCTTCTCCTCCTTCTCTTCCTCCTCCTTCTTCTTCTTCTTCTTCTTCTTCTTCTTCTTCTTCTTCTTCTTCTTCTTCTTCTTCTTCACATTCATCATTTGCAAACTCGAATGAAAAATTATGATTGTTTACCCGCTTCTCCACTTTGGTCTTGTTTCAGAACTTGAGTTTTGCATTCACCTTCTTTTTACAGATCAGGCTTATCTGTGCACTGACTGATGTTTCCTCACCCCTTAGGCAGATGCACTCCGTCTTCAAATGAAACACCCCAAATTAATCGAACTGTCAGGGACAGTGGATCTATTCTTTTTGCCAAAGATGAGGTCCTATAACCCACACATGGTACTCATATTTATTACGATAGTTATATATATATATTTATCTAACTTTATTTGTGTGTACATACAAAACTCAGATCATTTGTAATAGTTTTTCATTTTCATTTGTTTCTCCATTGAATTTGAAAAATAAATACTCCATTAATGTTCTAAACATTGGTTACTTCAACTGACGCAGCTCTCTTGCTCGTCTGTCATCCCTCCATTTCTGTATAAGCATCATCATCTGGTCACAAGTTGCTTTTTGTCGCTGAGCATCCATCCTTTCAAATTCTGCAGGTTGTAATCGGTGGCCAAACACTTCCAACTGAAGGTAAGATATGCATGAAAAATTAACATAAATATTTTTAGACAATAACAAGTTTAAAGGTCAAGGTTTAAAGGTGCCAAAGGTGGACACTTACATGTTCCAATGAACGTAAAATTGTGGCAACATAGATGAAATACCTTAAAAGAGATGCAAGGATTTCAAAGAAGGACAGAATATGAAATCACGAAATCAGACCAATGCTAGGAATAAAGCCAGTCTTACAGGTCATCAAAGAAAAACAACAAATGAAGTGGTTTGGACACCTTACAAAAATGCTCTGGTACTATCTGCCACAGCCAGCCACACTAAAATGTTACAACGGATATACAGAAAAAACATCAGTCTTAATTGTGGTCTTGACAGAGCTCATCAATGAATGTTACATCTTCCCCCGACACTTAGCTGAGGTACAAGGTAGAAGGGAAAAAGAGGAAGAAGAAGAAAGGTTTAAAGTTGAAAGAATTTACTGCATTGAACAGGGTTTCTACTACAAAAACACAATGACATTAAACAAGCTATTTAACTAGCAAAAGACATGACACCGCATTTAACCTCTTTGCAATGCTTTATGGCGTGAGCAATAGGATAAAAAATGAAAGAAAAAAAAAGGACATGGTTTCATCATCCCTTCTGGTTTGATCTCTCTCTCCACAAAATGGCTATCCCTCTGTTTAGAGTGTCCTTCAGACATCCCAGAAATCTCTGCACTGGTAAACTGGTTGACACAGTCCATGTTTTAAACCCAAAAAAAGCCACAGCCTTCAAAACACTAACATGGGTTTGAAAAAAAAAAGCTCTAACTTCTAGGGACTGATCCTGAACAAATGTCTTAGCAGAAAAAAAAGCTTGTCTTAAAAGAATGATGCAGCAGAAGGTGTCTGCAGGCTCTGGGTGTCAAGTGAGACTCGAGGAAAGACAAGTAAAAGTAAGTAAAGGACCCTTTTCCACACCTTTAGGTGTATAGGGCATATAGGGCTAGGCGTATATTTTCATAGGCCAATCGGCACAAGATGGGTGATGTGGTCAGCATCACGCCGGCCGCCTTTACTTTCCCGGGACTACACCCGATACCCACTCAAGGCTGGGTCGACCTGGAAGCCAAGGTCATTTTTGAAAAAGGTCAGGCTCCGCCAGGGAGTGAACCCACGACCTTTCGATCCACGACGAGCGTCTAGCCGCTCGCCCACGGCGACTCCTGGAAAGACAAGACAAGTAATTAAACAGTTGATAATGGGTGTCATCAGTAAAGACTCTTTCTGGCTGTTGAGGAGGGAGACAGAGCTAAAACTGGCTTGGTCTGAATGATAGGATGTCGAATCTTTACCCAGATGCAACCAGCATACAAGTGTTCTAACTGAACTACATAAAAACTACCTGCGAGAGAATTATTCAAAAAATAAACGAAACAACAATTACCTGTGCTCTCTTGACATCCTGAACATTGTTGTAGATATACTTGTTAGTCTCCACATCCAGATGTTCAGCTTCTGCCCCTTCTCCATGGGCAACTGAAATCACATCACACCTATCTTTACTCCATAGTAAACAAGGTATAAGACCCATGTCCCATACTTTGAGGCTTATTTGGTATAAGCTGCTAGCATGGGTGCCAGAATTTGCAGGCTCAGGCCCCCCCCCCCCCCTCCCCCTCCCCCCCCTCCCCCAATAACTTTGTAAAGAGACTTTGAGGTACCCTTTACATAATTTATAGAAATTCTTTTTTTTAAGTAGCTTTTACAATTTTTTTTTTTAGGTGTGAATTATATTTATTTGCCATTCAACATATTATTAATAATAATAATGATAATAATGCGTTCGAGTGACAAAAAGTATAATAATATACTTGCAACAAAGGCACTGGAACCTAGGGTTCCCACACGTGTTAAGCCAGATTTAATTGTGTGGTGATGATGATGATGATGTTATTATTATTATTAATAATATTTACTTATTATTCTACAATAAAACAAGGCTTTAGCCCATCCCTACAAAATTACAGGGGGGAAGGGGGTGGTGGGAAGGGGGTGGTGGGAAGGGGGTGGTGGGAAGGGGGTGGTGGGAAGGGGGTGGAAGGGGGTGGTGGGAAGGGGGTGGTGGGAAGGGGGTGGTGGGAAGGGGGTGGTGGGAAGGGGGTGGTGGGAAGGGGGTGGTGGGAAGGGGGTGGTGGGAAGGGGGTGGGGGGGGGGGTGCTAGTTGAGTGCCTCCTTGCTTTCTGTGATGGCATGACTTCCCATTCTATGAGGCTGGGTTGGTACTAGACCCTCTAGTAAAAAAAAAAAAAGTTAAAGTTAAAGTCTTTTTACTTGATATTAGGCACATTGGGCACTTGAGAATAGACACATATTTTGATAGACAATCGGCCCTCAGTGGGTGATATGGTCAGCATCATGCTAGCGCCTTTACTTTTGAGGACTTTACCTGTTAAATTTAAGGTTGGGTTGACTTGGGAGTCAAGGCCATGTTTGAAATTAATCCACAACCATGCAGATTGAACCTATAACCTTCAGAACCATAGGCGAACCTAGCCACTAAACCATGGTGACTCCTAAATTTATGGTTAAAAAGTTAGTTGCATATCCTTTACAGGATGTTGCAGAGCCAACCCCCAGCATTTTATTGCCGTTGTGGTTTTTCTAGGCACATTTAAGTCCAGTAGAATGCCATTGCTTTTTTGACAGTGGACTTCTCGATACCACTGTCGAAACGAGTGCAAGGGGCAAGGACCATGGCTGGGATCGAACCCAGCACCCCGGCATTAAAAAGAAACTCATAGTGCTCAGGAAAAATAATCTTTCTGCTGTTGCTGGTGATTGAACCTGGACCACTATTTTAGTAGACAAACACACAAACACCTGCACAATAAACACTAATACCAAATACAACAAAAAAGCTGATGTTTCAACTGATGATGAACTGCATTGAAGACTGTTTGTTGGCACTTCTGATAGCTGCCTTATGCAAAAAATGCAGGTGTATGCTATTGGTTTTGTTGAGACTGCATTCTGTGTTCATGTTGTTTTAACAAGGAGCCATGAAAAACAGACACTCTGTGTCCATGTTGTTTTCAAAAGGAGCCGTGAAAGACAGACCTTCTGAGTCCATGTTTTTAAAAGGAGCCATGATAGACAGACATTCTGTGTCTGTTGTTTTCACAAGGAGCTGTGATAGACAGACCTTCTGTGTCGATGTCGTTTTCACAAGGAGCCATGATAAACAAATTCTGTGTCGATGTTGTTTTCACAAGGAGCCGTGATAGACAGACATTCTGTGTCCTTGTTGTTTTCACAAGGAGCCGTGATAGACAAACATTCTGTGTGGTTTTCCTTTGGCATGGGAATGGAGCAACTATTTCAGAGTCATGTTCAGTGAGCTCATTAACAGAATAGCATGAAATGACACAGAGGAAGATGAGAAAGAGAAGGAAATCCAGCAGGAGGAAATTAAAAAAAAAAGAAGGAAATGAAGAAGAAAAAAGCCAACAGCAGCAGAAGAAAAAAAAAAGGGTAAAAGCAAGAAGAAGAGGAAGAAGTGCAAGAGAAGGCTAAGGGGGAAAAAAAGAACGGAAAGAACAGACTCCTTTTTTGTGTCAAAAATGTGTATTTACGGGGAAGGAAATCTAAACAACTTCTGAAGCCTGAGCCTGCAGGTGTGAGGGTGGTGGTGTGAGGGTGGTGGTGTGAGGGTGGTGGTGTGTGGGTGGTGGTGTGTGGGTGGTGGTGTGTGGGTGGTGGTGTGTGGGTGGTGGTGTGAGGGTGGTGGTGTGTGGGTGGTGGTGTGTGGGTGGTGGTGTGTGGGTGATGGTGTGAGGGTGGTGGTGTGAGGGTGGTGGTGTGTGGGTGGTGGTGTGTGGGTGGTGTGTGTGTGGGTGGTGGTGTGAGGGTGGTGGTGTGAGGGTGGTGGTGTGAGGGTGGTGGTGTGTGGGTGGTGGTGTGTGTGGGTGGTGGTGTGTGGGTGGTGGTGTGTGGGTGGTGGTGTGTGGGTGGTGGTGTGTGGGTGGTGGTGTGTGGGTGGTGGTGTGTGGGTGGTGGTGTGAGGGTGGTGGTGTGAGGGTGGTGGTGTGAGGGTGGTGGTGTGTGGGTGGTGGTGTGTGGGTGGTGGTGTGTGGGTGGTGGTGTGAGGGTGATGGTGTGAGGGTGGTGGTGTGAGGGTGGTGGTGTGTGGGTGGTGGTGTGTGGGTGGTGGTGTGAGGGTGGTGGTGTGAGGGTGGTGGTGTGTGGGTGGTGGTGTGTGGGTGATGGTGTGAGGGTGGTGGTGTGAGGGTGGTGGTGTGTGGGTCAGGCACTCATGAGGAAGAAGAGGTGGACGAAGTTAGAGTTAAAAAAAAAAAAGAAGAGTAAACAAGAGGAAAAAAAAAAGAGGACTCCTTACTTGTGTCAATGCTCTTTCGTATTTTGGTGAGGAAATCCAGTATAACTTCTTCAGCCTGAGCCTGTGGATTCAGGGAGGGTGCAGGTGTGTGGGTTGGTGACTCAGGAATGGGTGCCATTCTTGAGAAATCAGAAGCAGGTGTTGGTGGTGGGGGGATTATAGATCGACTGCGGAAAAACAGAACTCAGTAATGTCAAAATGGGGAAAAAAACCAATAAGAACTAAGTAATGTCAAAATGAGGGAAAAACAATAAGAAAGTAATGTCAAAATGGGGGAAAAACAATAAGAACTCAATAATGTCAAATTGGGTGAAAAACAATAAGAACTTAGTAATGTCAAAATGGGGGAAGTGACAGAGATATTAAAATACAAAACCGGAAAGGGATGTTTTTCCACTAGGAAATTTGTGGAAGTTTAAGGAAATTCAAATTAGTATTAAACTTATACTTTTTAGCTCTAATCTCAAATTATTACTCAAGTAGGGAGTGTAACATTGAGAGTAACTAAATAATTACTAATAAACTACACACATACATTAACTGGTGCCTGCGCAGAATATAAGGAATTAAATTATATGATAAAAATTACTATTGTGGAGCTCTGGGAGTGAACTAAACAACCTTTCTGTGAATCAAGAGGTAAGAAAAAATACTGCCATTGGATGGGCCACACATTGAGAAAATGTGAGAACACAATAACTATAGTGTCTCTACACTGGAACCCACAAGGGCATAGAAATAAAGGCAGACCAAATAGCACATGAAAGATCTGGTGCTTCAGATGAATGGTGTTTAAAGGTGAAAGGACGGGCTTCACTGCAGCTGGCTTCTCTCATAAGGCTCAGTCTTTCTATGCAAAGCTTCTTCCCCCCCCCCACAAAGCATGAAACTCCAAAGCTAAAGGGATGACCCCCAGGGCTCTTTTGAAACACCTACCTTTGTAAATCGAAGGATGGGGTTTAATACCACACACAATACCTTTTGAGAACAAATAAAATGGTGCAACCTCTTTACCATGGAGGCTCTACATCAACAGTTCTCAACCTGCTGGTTGCAACCCTTTTGTGGGTCCAACAACTTTTTCACAAGGGTCGCCAAAGACCATAGGAAAACACATATTCACTGTAGCTGTAGTAATGTTAGTTTCAGCTTCATAGCAAATGGGTCACTCCATAGTTGCTCCGCTTCTGTGCCAACAAAAAACACAGAATGTTCATCACAGTCCCTTGTGGACAGATTGACATACTGCTGTCTCAGCATATGCACTAGCATACACACAAATTAAAAGCATATGGTAGCCATCAGAAGTGCTAACACAAACAGTCCGACATTAGAAATGCAGTTCATCATCGACGGTGGCAGAGGTAATCACCAAATCAGCAGTTGCACACGTGATCAATTTTAATCACATAAGGGCACCACCAATATTGCGACGACAGGCCACTTGCCATTTTCTGAATCCAAATTCACAACACCACTTTGGTCACAGTAAAAAAAAAAACATTCCAAATGAAATCTGCAGCTCATAGGGTTGCACCATGCACTCAACTCAGTAGTTGGGTGATGAAACTATATCTTTTCAGTCTACAAATGGAGCAAACATGCAACGGTCACCGTCTGGCAGAAGCAAAAACTTTGACACGACTCAAAACAGTGACGTGCCTAGCCTAGCCTGAAACTGTGATGAAGCAATGAAAAAATTGTATGGTTGGGGGTCACCACAACATAAAAAACTGTATTAAAGGGTCGCTGCATAAGTAGGTTGACAGCCACTGCTCTACATGAGCTATCCTCTGAATAACAGGCACATATTATGGCGACCAATAACACACCATAACAGGGCCTCAGTCACAAGTATATTGCGGACTTCCGGCGACTACCGCCACCGCCGAGAGTATCTCCCACGCAGATACGCGCGGCGTGGAGCGGGGCTAAACTAGATGGCTGGGACTCACAAGCAGCAGCTACCGCTTCTCCTGCAGCTTCTTTCATTTTATGTCATCAGCATCGAAGCCCTTCAGTCTTGGTGCCACATACACTGTTAATCTGGGGCGTATGCGGCTTTTCTGCCATCCCCCGGCACACATGGGGGTTGTCATCTGACGTCCTACGCGCTATCAACTACGCTAGAGTGTGTGTATATATCTATATATACTTTAGCAAGATGCAAAAGATTCTCACCACAAAGAAGATGTCAACTGCAGCGAGAAAGAGTGTTGAAGTGCTATGTTGAACCTGTGTTGTTGTATGCGTGTGAAACATGGGCAGTAAACAAGACCAAAAACATTTATTCATGGCAAAGATGTCATTTCTGAGAAGAATGCAAAGAAAATCAAGGAAGGATAGAAGAAAAACAACCAAAGCAGTCCTTATCGAGACAGATAAAAGTTAAAAACTTTTTAGAACAATTAGAGCAGACAGTCAATGTTTTATAACATGCTAGGAGATGGAAGAGACAAAGAGAATTTGATAACAACGGGCAAGATTGATGGAAAAAGAGCAAGGGGTGGCAAAGAGATATATTATTATAAATAATAAATTATAAATGGCCTAGCCAGATGGATGGGGCGAGACAAAAACAGTGGACTGATCCATGATTCTGGTGATTGTGTGAGATAGCGAAACATGACAGCCTACGCTTATGGGCAAGGCACATGATCAGGATAATGATATATAGACACACACACACACACACACACAAACACTGGCATGCTCACAAACACATCGAAGCTGTCACAAATAAATAATAAAACAGAAATACTGACCTCATGTAAGTTGATGTGCTGTATACAGAAACAGTAGGTGATTTCTGAAAGAACAAAACAAAAATAACCATGATGTTTAATTTTATTTACTCTCTCTCCCTGCCTCTCACTCTTTCCAGCTCTTTCTCTCTGACTGTCTTCAACTCTCTCTCACACTATCTCTCCCCTGCCCTTACTATCTTTCAATCTTCCTGGCTCTCTCCTGTTCTCTCTCTCTCTCTTGCTGTCTGTCTCTGATAATCTCATTTTGTACTGGTGTCTCTGAGATGTTTCTGTGAGTGAGTAATTTAATATCGGTCTCTCCTTCACTTCCTCCAATTACTTCGTCAAAGTGTTTGGGAAAATGTAAGGATTTTCTGTATATTCTCTCCAATGTGTTGTTTCTCCTTCTTCTTCTTCTTCTTCTTCTTCTTCACGTTTACTGGCTATAAAGTCTGGCTTTTTGTCCACTTCTGGACTCTAGTCCTGTTCCAGAACCTGAGTGTTGCCTGCTCATCAGTTTTACAGAACTGACTCAGGTGTATGCATACTGCTGGTTCCTTGCATTTCAGACCGATCCGCTTTTTCAAAGGAAGCTCCCAGTTAGTCTCCTCCTACAACATGCTATTGTGGAGACAGTTATTCTATTCTTGTTGTTTCCAATATGGGGCCCCGGAACCCACATGGGTACAATGTGTGTTTAAGGCGGTTGAACAAATCTTAACCACATTTTGTGCCAGTCACTATATTCAGTCCTTACATAGCTGACTGGTCGGTTGGTGATTCCTATGGAGGGATGTGAATTTTAACTCTAATGCCCTGAGCAGTGATATTCACAGACATGGAAACAGTCTGCATCGATTAGAATTTTATTATTATAAAGACACTCTTCCTGGTCGGGTTTTGAAGTTCATAGAATCTTCTAAGGTTCATACTATCTTCATGTGAACTATGCTGCACAGCTCTCCTTCCCCTCTCTTTTTTTTTTCTTCTTCTTTGCATCTCATTGATACTAGGTTTTAGCCCAGTGTCATGGTTTTCTGTATTTGTCTTGTGCTTCTCGGTTGGCTTGGGGGATGGATTTCTTGCAGGTATCATCTACATCATTTATCCATGTCTTTCCTGGTCTTCCTCTCGCCATCCACCCGGATGCTTTGCAGTAAAAAGTCTCAAGTGCAGTTTGGTCTGGCTACATTCTCACTAGATAGTTGAATCATTTCATTCTTTGTCTGTCAATATAATTGAGACACTGTCTTATTCCAGCTTTCTCTTGAATGCTGGTATGTGTAACCCTGTCCTTAACTTTAACCTTTAACCCTTCTTTTGTTGATAGTGACCTTATGGAAACAATGCATTTCACAGGTAGTTATTTTCTGTTCTAGTTTCCTTTCATTGTCTATGTTTGGCACTGATCGCATAAAGTAGGGATAAAAACATAATTTGCTGTTTTGCTGGAAGAGACACATTTGAGTGTCTGAGCAGTAGGGCTAATGGACAGATCACAACATTTGCCTTCTGTACTCTGGCTTCTATCATTCTATAGAGTCTGCCATCTTCTCTCAATATGCTTCCTATATATTTGAATTCTCGTATACCATTAACATAAACGTTCAGGCTTCCTGCCTTTTGCAATAAACACTGATCATCTGCAAAAAAAAGTAGTTCATTGATTTCTTCAGTGTCTCTGTTTGCCTCCTGTGTAATTCATTAATAATGAGCAAGATGTGCAAAACCACTACTGGACTCTCATGTTAGTTAGTTGCGTATCCTTTTTTACAGGACGTTGTGGTTTTTCTAGGCAAATTTATGCCCAGTAATTTGCCATTGCTTTCTAGATGGTCGACTTTCTTGATACCACTGTCGAAACCAATGCAAGGCGCATGGCCTGCATCTGGGATCGAACCCGGCATCCCGGCATTACGAAGCATTTGCATTGGCTTAGCCACAGAGCCGACCGGACTCTCATGTACAGAGAGTATTAGGTATTATAGGACATATGCATGTTATAATTCAGCATAACACCAGCACATAGGCTGACATTCGGCCTAGGACAGTACTTTATCAATCAACAATTGTATATATTTCATTCTCAACAAGACTCCAACCCAATTCCCAGAGGGAAGATTCACTGTCTTAACTCTGTTGCCCTGGGAATGCTAAAAACATGGATCATGGACTTGTGGAAATTTCACACAAAACAAAACCTATTCAAAACAAAAAACACAGGCTTTATACAGGTCATTAATAAATTTGTTAAACATCTATTTATAAAAATTTAAAAAAATAAAAATTTCAAATTATAAAAAGATATATAAAGGGAGTATTAAATAAACAGTAACAGGGTTAAGTATTAAACAGTAATACAGTTAAGTATTAAACAGTAACAGAGTTAACTCTTTGAGTCCCAGGGGGTTTAGCATCAAAGGCCCAAACAGTAGTCAAAAAAGACGTAAAATCGGTGCATCTTGCATTCACTGGGCTTCTATGTAGGAATCTATGAACATATGACGCATTCCTTGGGACTTAAAGAGTTAAGTATTAAATATAATTTCTAAGAGCCTAAAAATATGTATAGGACGACTTGTGCAGTGGCTGTGTGGCCTCTATCATGTAGGCCACATGAAAATTTGAGGTCAATATGGCTCTATAAAAGCTATTTGGTTCATAAGACTCTATACCCTCCCTCATGCTATTTATAGTAAATATATTCATATCCTGACCTCTTAAACTCTGCACAGGCATAAATACAGCCAAAAGCATTAATTACATGTCTCATAAATGTGTCACCACACCATCATTAACGTTTTTTTTGCCTGTTGTGGTTTTTCTAGGCAAATTTCACGTTCAGTAGTTTGCTCTCTGTACCACTGTCGAAACCAACGCAAGACAAACAATCCACAGCTGTACCACGGCATTACGAAGAGCGTTCGCAGTGCATAAGCCACAGACGCCGACAAAACACACTGCTTTACATAATCTAAACCTCAGCTGACCTACATTCACTTACAGGTTTTCTGAGGACATCAAGTTCCCTGCGGAGAAGTGCAATTTCTTCCTGAGCTCTCATTTCTGCTTCCTGTCGTTTTCTACGCTCCTGGAAGTAATTATAAGTATAACACAATGCATTCCTGAATGAGATATTTATGGTGCTGTGCTAAAGAAAATACAGGGTCTCACTGACTTACTACTGGGGACTGTGTGGTCTCAAGGCATGGTGTCTGCATCGAGTGCTAGAGGTTCCAGGTTCAATCCCCGGTATGGACTTCGATTTTTTAACGTGGACTTGGAGTTCTGGTAATTCCCTCTGGTCTCTGCGTAGTGAGATAAGACGCCTGTGTGCATTGTTGCGAACGTAAAAAAATCCCTCTGCAGTTGGAAATAAAAAAAGAGTAGCCTAACAGCACTATCCGGGCATACTTTTGAGTTAAAAATCTACCCAAATTCCAGAATCCTCGCCAGTGCTACAGAACCTGTGCACTGTGCTGAGTTTCTTCGGACTCACACTTGAGTTAGCAGAAGAACGGAGCACTTATAGGTTTCTACCAGTGTGCCATGATGTTGATCCATTGTTCAAACTTCCAAATTCAAACTTCAAACTGACTTATGACTGAGTTATTTCTGAATAGCAGGTTGCAAGTCATACTGGCCATAAGTGAAATTTATACTTTTCGATATTATTTTTTGTTCAAATAGAATCTAAAAATTTTTTTTTATAAAACACAAAAATGCAATCTATGTACATATAGTTATTGTACATCTTCTTATTCTTCTGGCATCTCACTGTAAGGGTGTGCTCAGGTGCTCGGCACTGCAGCTGGCAGTGTTAAGGTCGTTAACTTTTCTTCAGATAGAGAAAGTGAAATTTAAGTAGTCTCCCAATGACCCATAGAGCACCCAGCCCCACCCCCACCTCCTCGCGGTACACACTGGAAAACTAAAGCCATGAGGTTTCAGGCTAATGGGGTGATAGCTCGCCTGGGAGGAGATGGACACCAACCAGGTCAGATTTGTTGCCCGTCCCGCTGTGTGACAGGCCTAGGAAGCCAGCAGTGGTGTAACTGACTGCTCCTACACTAGAAACATTGAAATGATTGAACATCATGTGAAAAAAAAATAATATGTACTCTACTGCATCATTTTAGGGCCACTGTGATGTAGCCGCTAGATGCTCACCTGCAGATTGGAAGTTTACTGAGTTTTTATGGGAGTGTCCCGAGTGCTGTGATGTCGATTCTTTATTCAACATTCTACATCCACTTGTTTTAGTCTACCAATGTGGTTATCTTATTTCTTCGCTATTTCAATTTTATTTATTATTCATGGTGGTAAGTGAAGATGTTCTAAGTTGCATAGGTCATTAAGTCGAGAAATTAGGTCTGTTTGAATACTCAAGCAATCTCTTCTGCTGGTCAACTTCCAAAAGATTGCAGGCTTCAATTTGTCATCAAAACCAACCAGGTGTTCTTTGTTTTTCTTCATAATTATGAACCACCCATGCACATTGCAACTGCTTCAGTGTGTTTCAAAATATACTGCTATATGAAGTGATTTGGCGACACATACAGTGAAGCAGTATACTCAGCGATCTGTGTATTTCAGTCAAAAAGATTCATGTTTTGTCCTTCAATATATGTCAATGTAAATTGTTTTGTATACACTTGACAAATTACAGCTAAAATTCCACACAATAAATTGTGCAATTTAAGTTACAATGGGAAAGCACTGCTTTTGAAGTATGATAATGAGTTAACACTGATAATGTCTGGAGCACAGCAGGTTGAAGAACAAGAGGAGTGTGAGTAAAGTAGCCAGACTTGAATGTAGTAACAATATGCTAGAATAGGTTAAATTAACTCTTTCAAGGCTGGAAGGTTTAACAGAAGTTGTAACTGAACTACAAAGGGGAAGTCAATAAGTAAATCACAAATTGTTGCTTAACACACATAAACACAAATAATGAAGAAAACAGCTTAAAAACTATTTATTTTTACACGTGCACTGACCCTTTATTTTTCAACAAAGTTTCCACCAACACTGATGCATTTGTCCCATTGTTTTATCAGTCCTCCCAAACCTGCTGCATAGAACTGCATGCTCTGTTTTCTAAACTACATTTTCACCTCACATTCAACTTATGCATCATTTGCCAAATGTGTCCTGCAAGGTGGGTTCAGTGGACCGCTTTATGGGATAAACATTTGTCAACAGAAACAGGAAGTATTTCGTTATGAATGCCCTTTTGCCACCCCAAATATTCACATAACAGCACATTGTTCTTTAAGGGTACAATCCATAGGTAGAGTTGCCATTTTGTTTATGTGTAGCGAATGTGAATGCAACACCCAGAGCCACCTAAAGAACATAGAGTTTGATGTTGCTGCCACCAAATAACACCTTTAGAAACCACCTACCTTTTCCTGCCATCCCATAACCATTTATGACTTACTTACTGACTTCCCCTTGTACTATGAAAAATCTTCAGTGTGTTATATAAAAAGATTAGCTCTTTGAGTTCCAGGTTGGATGCTTCTTATTCACATTATATCCTAAGATTTTATTATTTTAACTACTACATGTTTCAGTCTGAAGCAGATAAAATAATAACAAGATGATAGAAAAAAGGATATAAAGCAACAACTGAAGCAACATAATGTAGTTACTTGATTGGGGACAGTTTGTTAAGAATAGTATTTAATGTACCAGAGCTCAACAAATGCATGGTGAGTTGTTTGAGACTGAATGAGTTAAATACACAACGGCCAGGTTTCTTTGGATGCTGTAAACCAAAAGTAACAAGTTAAAGGACTCATTATGTAATAGTTGTGACTCAAAAGGACAAATCAATCACAAATCATGTGTTGCTTAGGATGAATGAAGTGAGAAGGGAGTCAGAGTCAAATGTAGAAGCTGAATCAACAGAAATTGTAGCCACAGAGACAAATAATAAACCAAATACAAATTAAAATGTCATTCCTGGCTTACCTCTTGCAGCTGCTCTTCTAGTTCATTTCTTTCTCTGTCCAGCCTGGCACGTTCTGCAGCAGCTGTTTTCATCATCGCTCCCTCAGCAGCCCTGGGAAACAAAAGGAATACACAATTAGGTAAAGAAAATGAGACCACAATGTGGGTTCACAAAGTGTATCTTAATTTTTCCCTACAAGGAAAAAAATCAAAGGCAGGAGGTTTATTGGAGAGGGGGGGGGGGGGGGAGGAGTGCAGGTAACTTTCTGTGCATGCATACATTTGCTCCATCTGCTGAGAGAGTCAGATGCAGGCTGAGGACCGGCACTTGCTTGCTTTCCAAGATAGCGGAACTGGTTCCACAGTGGAAATGAGGCAGCAGATGAGATGACAACAGCCGGGATTAATCTTCCACAACCTTATCCACCACAGAGCTACGAAGAAACCAAAACAGTCCTAAAGTAGTCATTCAGGGGACAGTGGAGTAGGCAGAACAGACTCTACAAATGATAGAGTAAGTAAGTAAAAAGTAAAGATGCTTTTTCATGCCTTAGGCGCATCGGGCATACAGGAAGAGCACCCATATTTTTACAGACCATCGGCACTAAGTGGGTAATGTGGTCAGCATTATGCGGGCCATCTTTACTTTCCCAGGACATACATCCTGGTACCCATTTTAGGCTGGGTCCACCTGCGACGCCCCCTACCACGATAAAAATCTATGCAGCCAGCAGTGGGTCTCGATCTCGGCACGTTGAAATTACAAGTCGGACTCGCAACACCTAAGACATGGACGCCGCACAAATGATTGAGTGACAATCAAAGCAATGTTTCCTCGATGTGAATTTGAAAAAAGATTACACAAACAATAGACTGCAAAATTTATTGCCTGGCATATTTCGCTGTATCTCGTCAGGTGCATACTACAGTAACAATTAATTAAAATGAAGCAAATAGCTGAATCCTAGAATACGCGGAAGCTTCAGCGATTGGCAGATTGAAACCAGAACTATGTAGGCAAAAAGAAATGGTCGTTGCCCTATGCTTACCTTGGTGAAACAGTTTGAAATGTACTCGAATTTGTGTTTCAGTTTCTAGGATTCAGCTATTTGCTTCATTTTAATTAATTGTTACTGTAGTATGCACCTGATGAGATACAGCGAAATATGCCAGGCAATAAATTGTGCAGTCTATTGTTTGTGTCTTCTTTGTTCAGATAGAGTGACAGCCTAAACAAATTTAAAAGGAAAGAACAAACAACAATGTTTAGGCTTTGGACAGGGCATGGTGGTCTCAGAGCACCCCTACACAGGACATGGTGGTCTCAGAGCACCCCTACACAGGACATGGTGGTCTCAGAGCACCCCTACACAGGACAAAGTTGTCTCAGAGTACCCCTACACAGGACATGGTGGTCTTAGAGCACCCCTACACAGGACATAGTTGTCTCAGAGCACCCCTACACAGGACATGGTGGTCTCAGAGCACCCCTACACAGAACATGATGGTCTCAGAGCTCACCTACACAGGATATGGTGGTCTCAGAGCACCCCTACACAGAACATGGTGGTCTCAGAGCACCCCTACACAGAACATGGTGGTCTCAGAGCACCCCTACACAGAACATGGTGGTCTCAGAGCTCACCTACACAGAACATGGTGGTCTCAGAGCACCCCTACACAGGACATAGTTGTCTCAGAGCACCCCTACACAGGACATGGTGGTCTCAGAGCACCCCTACACAGAACATGGTGGTCTCAGAGCTCCCCTACACAGGACATGGTGGTCTCAGAGCTCACCTACACAGGAAATGGTGGTCTCAGAGCTCACCTACACAGGACATGGTGGTCTCAGAGCACCCCTACACAGGACATGGTGGTCTCAGAGCACCCCTACACAGGACATGGTGGTCTCAGAGCTCACCTACACAGGACATGGTGGTCTCAGAGCACCCCTACACAGGACATGGTGGTCTCATGGCTCACCTACACAGGACATGGTGGTCTCAGAGCTCACCTACACAGGACATAGTTGTCTCAGAGCACCCCTACACAGGACATGGTGGTCTTAGAGCACCCCTACACAGGACATGGTGGTCTCAGAGCTCACCTACACAGGAAATGGTGGTCTCAGAGCACCCCTACAGGGCATGGTGGTCTCAGAGCACCCCTACACAGGACATAGTGGTCTCAGAGCTCACCTACACAGGACATGGTGGTCTCAGAGCACCCCTACACAGGACATGGTGGTCTCAGAGCACCCCTACACAGGACATGGTGGTCTCAGAGCACCCCTACACAGGACATGGTGGTCTCAGAGCTCACCTACACAGGACATGGTGGTCTCAGAGCACCCCTACACAGGACATGGTGGTCTCAGAGCACCCCTACACAGGACATGGTGGTCTCAGAGCACCCCTACACAGGACATGGTGGTCTCAGAGCTCCCCTACACAGAACATGGTGGTCTCAGAGCTCACCTACACAGAACATGGTGGTCTCAGAGCTCACCTAAACAGAACATGGTGGTCTCAGAGCTCACCTACACAGTACATGGTGGTCTCAGAGCTCACCTACACAGGACATGGTGGTCTCAGAGCTCACCTACACAGAACATGGTGGTCTCAGAGCTCACCTACACAGAACATGGTGGTCTCAGAGCTCACCTACACAGAACATGGTGGTCTCAGAGCTCACCTACACAGGACATGGTGGTCTCAGAGCTCACCTACACAGAACATGGTGGTCTCAGAGCACCCCTACACAGGACATAGTTGTCTCAGAGCACCCCTACACAGGACATGGTGGTCTCAGAGCACACCTACACAGGATATAGTGGTCTCAGAGCACACCTACACAAGATATGGTGGTCTCAGAGCTCACCTACACAGGACATGGTGGTCCCGGAGCACACCTACACACGACACAGTGGTCTCAGAGCTCACCTACACAGGACATTGTGGTCTCAGAGATCACCTACACAGGACATAGTGGTCTCAGAGCACCCCTACACAGGACATGGTGGTCTCAGAGCAACCCTACACAGGACATGGTGGTCTCAGAGCACCCCTACACAGGACATAGTCGTCTCAGAGCACCTTACACAGGACATGGTGGTCTCAGAGCTCACCTAAACAGGACAGCCATAAAAGAAACTGCCATGACAGTCAGACTCCTGAGCATGTACTGAAGAACTGCTTTAACTTCTATTGGCAGAGGTCAAGGATCTGGCCCACTGGGGCGACATAAGACAAGCTGTGGATGACTTCTGGTAGTGACCTTATAGGCACTGTCCTGCATGTGAATACATTCAGCAAGACTGATGTCTGACACAGAAGGAATATACATTTAGCATGACTGATGTCTGACATAGACAGGAATATACAATTAGCATGGCCGATGTCTGACACAGAAGGAATATACATTTAGCATGGCCGATGTCTGACACAGAAGGAATATACATTTAGCATGACCAATGTCTGACATAGACAGGAATATACAATTAGCATGGCTGATGTCTGACACAGAAGGAATATACATTTAGCATGGCCGATGTCTGACACAGAAGGAATATACATTTAGCATGGCCAATGTCTGACACGGAAGGAATATACATTTAGCATGGCTGATGTCTGACACAGACAGGAATATACATTTAGCATGGCCGATGTCTGACACAGAAGGAATATACATTCAGCATGGCCGATGTCTGACACAGAAGGAATATACATTTAGCATTGCCGATGTCTGACACAGAAGGAATATACATTTAGCATGGCCGATGTCTGACAAAGAAGGAATATACATTTAGCTTGGCTGATGTCTGACACAGAAGGAATATACATTTAGCATGGCCGATGTCTGACACAGAAGGAATATACATTTAGCATGGCTGATGGCTGACACAGAAGGAATATACATTTAGCTTGGCCGATGTCTGACACAAAAGGAATATACATTTAGCATGGCCGATGGCTGACACAGAAGGAATATACATTTAGCATGGCCGATGGCTGACACAGAAGGAATATACATTTAGCTTGGCCGATGTCTGACACAGAAGGAATATACATTTAGCTTGGCCGATGTCTGACACAGAAGGAATATACATTTAGCATGGCCGATGTCTGACACAGAAGGAATATACATTTAGCTTGGCCGATGTCTGACACAGAAGGAATATACATTTAGCTTGGCTGATGTCTGACACAGAAGGAATATACATTTAGCTTGGCTGATGTCTGACACAGAAGGAATATGCATTTAGCATGGCCGATTTCTGACACAGAAGGAATATACATTAAGCATGGCCGATGTCTGACACAGAAGACGAAGAAGTGAGTGTTCAAAATATACTACAGGACCCTTTACATGCCATCGGGCATATTTATCAGATCTGCATTTTTGCAGACCAGTTGGTACTTGATGGGATGATGTGTTAATATCATGCCTTTACTTCCTAGGACTATTTCCTGACACCCAATTTAGGCCTGTCAGTCTGGAGCCAAGATCAATTCACAATGAGTTTCCCATAAACAACTCTATGACACTCCAAGTTTGTTCATTGTCTGGGCAAAGCTAATGCCGAGTATTTTTTGGCTAAAGTACAGTGTTTTCCAACCATATGCTGAGACAGCAGTCTGTCAATCTTTCCACAAGGGACTGTAATGAACAATCTGTGTGTTTTTTGTTGGCACAGGAGCGGAGCAACTATGGGGTGACCCGCTTGCTATGAAACTGAAACTAAGATTACCAGATTACCAAATGTGTATCATTTACTTGCACACATTTTTATCATTTTAGTGGTCAGCGTAGAAATCTTCTACCCATCTGTAATTCAGCACAGAGGATGTCCTTAGAGACTCCCCCATCCTCCATGTGTTACTCAGACACCTGAGCCTTCGTAGACTGAGCACTGAGAAACACATGGAGGATTGATCATACTCTGTCATTATAGAGTGTCTACAAAACAAAACTTGAGATGATGACTGATAACTATTGATTGATCATACTCAGTCATTATAGAGTGTATACACACACAAAACTTGAGATGATGACTGATAACTATTGATTGTTTTCAAGCTAAACTCACCAAAAGGAAATGGTCTCTTCTGTCAATTCTTCTATCATTTATCCCTAGAATTACATACTTACTTCTTTTCTCTCATTTCCTCTTCTTTTCTTTGCCTCTCTGCATCTCTCTGTTGTTGCTGCAGCCTAAATCAGAGATAGAAGATTATGTGTCTGTTTATTTTTTCTGTCCCCAAAACTTGTTTATACAGCAATATGTGTACAGGCATAGAATTTAGCAGAAAGAATCTGGCTGTTTATCTGTCATTTTGATCCTCATTCTTCTATCACTCTGAACATATATCTGTCTACTTGTCCATCTGTCTGTTTCTCCCCCCTTTTCCTTTAATCTGTCTCTGTAGTCTGTTCAACTGTCAGTCTAGATACTAATTTGTCTACCTTTTCCCCGCATGGGTTTTGGGGCTTCTTTGTGGGGACAACAAGAACAGACCCACTGCCTCTCCCACAAGCATGTCCTAGGAGTCGGCTAGTTGGGGGCTTCCTTCAAAGTCAGAAAGCAGCTGCCTGAGTGGCAAGAGACAACCAATTGCACACAAATAAACCAGTAAAACGGATGTACAAGCAAAACTCCGGCCCTGGCACAAAGCCCAAGTCCAAATGGACAAACAACCAGGACTTTCTGCCAAAGCTTACAGCCGGTGAACAAAGAAAAAGAAGAAGATCTACCTTTTCATTTATGTTTCTAACTGTCCCATCTGATTTTTTATTATTTTTTTTTTTAGTCTTTCCATACATGTGTTTCTCATTTTGTGTTTTTTGCCGAACATTTTCTAATATAGAGCCAATTTCTTTATTCCATCTCTTCTGTCCATCTGCCCTGTAGACTATTTTCATTTAACCTTTCCTAATCAGCACTTTGATGAGTGACCTGGCAACATCTGCATGTTGTATATAACAATGCTATTTCATTACGTGTTTGTCTAACTATTTTCAACACTGTGTATTTCCACTTTGATAAGTGACCTGGCAACATTTGCATGTTATATTTAATGCTATTTAATTACCTTTTTATCTAACTATTCTTTAAAAAAAATCCTTTAAACACACCACCTTTACACAGGCTTGGACATTTAAAAAAAATATTTATGTACAATTTTACATTTCTGAAAATAAAAGGAAAGAAATATATAAAGATATTTAAAGTAATAAATAGACTTGAACAGAGGGAAGCATTAAATGGAATTCCCTAGGGCCTAAAAATTTGCGCGGCATCCTCTATCATTGAAGCTTACAGGAAAATTGGACACCAACCTGCCTTCAAAAACAACTATTTGGTTTTAAGGAAACCCCTGTTAAATGCTATACATTTATTAAATGTATTCATATTCTGACCTCATAAATGTTTGCGCAGGTGCAAACTGTAGACTTTTAAAATAAAAAAATGTTCATGGAAAAATAACCAAGTTTTCCCATTCTCATAATATATTGAAAAAATGTGAACCATCTTCTTCTAATGCAAGGAAACAATTCTCTTGTTGAGTTAATTTCCATTTAGAAATCTTCACTACTTTTACCCCCCCCCCCCCCCCCTCTTCCTCAAACAGGAATGTGTTTAAAATATGTAATACTTAATTTGGGGCTTAAAAAATAAGGGTCATCTTATTAATGGGGGTGTCATACACACTGACAAATATTATATATTGTTTTGTCCTGTCCACCCATGTTTAACTGTTATATTAATCCAGACTTTCCTGTTCTCTATTTTACACGCTTATCCAACCATTATATTATCATTATATTAATCCAGCCTTTCCTGTTCTCTATTTTACACTCCTATCCAATCATTATATTATCATTATATTAATCTGGCCTTTCCTGTTCTCTATTTTAACTTCTTCTGTGTCCTGTCCACCATAATCCAGTCATTATATTAATCTGGCCTTTCCTGTTCTCTACTTTAACTTCTTGTGTCCTTTTTACCATAATCCAGTCATTATATTAATCCAGCCCTTCCTGTTCCTTACTTTAACTCTTTCACTTATAAAACATGACCCTTTTAACTCATTTCTGCCCACATCATTCATGACGCTAAAGTGATAGGCTTACTGCAAACCAACTCCAGCAATTGTTAGCTTTGTGTGGTTTATTAGACAAATTTCATATTTCTAGTTCACTTCTGAACAGTGAACAGTGAATGCTCATACTAGCGCCAAAATCAACTAAAAACCAATTTTAAAACCTCTGCCTTGATAAGCAACTGACCCATGACCCCAGGCTAGCAGGTTTTTATGCTAGCCATTACCCACTACAAATGCAAAGACTTCTTCTTCTTAGCGTTTACTAGTTGTAAACCCTGGTGGAAAGTTCTGGCTGTTCATCCACATGGACTTTAGTCTTGTTCCAGAACTTGAGTTTTGCTTGTACATCCCTTAGACAAATCTGGCATATTTCTATCCAGACTGTTGGTTCCTCACCTCCTACGCAGATGCACTTCAACAGAGAAGGAAACACTCCTAATTAATCACCTTTTATGGCTTGCTTATTAGGGAGGCTATAAGAGAATCTATTCCCCACCCCTTGCCCAAAATAGTATAACAGAAAGCACACAGAGAATACGTAGAGGTAGAAAGGATTTTAAATATTTGTTTAGAGAATTAACTGTTTTCCGGACATTACCTTTCTCGTTCTGCCTCTCTCTCTTCTCTGGCTTTCCTTCTATCCTGTGGCTTTGTGTATGGGGGCACCTGATCATTATGCCAATGTCTCCAAGGGGGATGGAGAGCTGAAATGTAAAAATCTATATGTACTACATGGGCTGAATTTCAAAACCTATATGTACTACATGGGTTGAATTTCAAAATATATATGTACTACATGGGTTGGATTTCATGGAAATAAAAACGATCAAAGACAGAGGTTATGGAGGGGCTGGGAATGAAAAGCAAGTTGTTGAAAGAAATTATCCTCATATGGGTTCGGGGCTCCATTTTTGGGGGAAAAGATAGAACCCCTCCCCCTTCCTCCCCAACAAGCATTTTGTAGCAAGCGTTAAATTAGGGGTGTTTCATTCAAAGTCATGGTGCCTATGTCTGAGAGGCAAGGAACCATTAATTTGCACACAAATAAACTAGATCTGTAAAATGGATGTGCACGCAAAACTCAAGTTCTGGAACAAGACTAAAGTCGACAAGTGGATGAACATTCAGAACTTTCCATCGGAGTTTATATTCTATGAATGCTAGTAAGAAGAAGACAGAAATAAAAGAGATATTCAAAATGTTTTAGTTACAGTATTCTTTTAAAAACCATATTAGAGGGAAAATATAAAGGTAGACACCAATTTAACCCTGCCAACCCGATAAGTAACAGGCTATTCATGGAGATCACAAGAAATTAGAATTAGTACTCCCTTAAAATTTCTAATTCTAATGTCAAATCAGTAATGTTGTATGGTGAAGAAACATGGAGAACAACTAAGGCAATTACTAATAAACTACAGACATTCATTCTGCCTGCGCAGAAGAGAGTGAATAAAATGGTATGATATAATCACTAATGTAGAGCTTTGGGAGAGAAATAAACAAGTTCCAGTTGACCAAGAGGTGAAGAAAAGACGCTGGATTTGGATAGGATGCACATTGAGAAAACCTGAGAACAATATAACTAGAATGTCTTTGCAATGGAATTCATAGGGGCATAGAAGTACCGGAAGACCAAAAAACACATGGAGAAGAGAGAGAGAGAGAGTGAATTTAAAAAGATGGGAAGGACACGGAAAGAGCAGCATACGATAGCGGAGGATAGAATGATTTGATGTGAGCTGGTTGTGGGCCTATTCTCCATTAGGGATTAGAAGGCAGAAGAAGAAGACCCCGTGAAGCTGCAAAACCAACACTTCTGGTTGGGGCCTATTCCTCGTAAATATAACTTTTCTGACCTGTCTATAGTGACCTGATTACGAGACGTATAGTCAAAGATGGTGGCAGTGTGAAACCCTGCGCATTTTTATCAGGTTAGGATATGAATATACTCACTAACAATAACACTGGCATGGGAGGCTCCATCAAACCAAACAATTTTTTAAAGCTAAGTTGACGTCAACTTTTCCAGTAAGCCTCAGTGACAGAGGTCACAGTGCCACGACATGAGTCACCCATATATTTTATACCCAAAGAGCTTATTCCATTTCATACTTTACCCTGTTCATGTTTACTGACTACTCCATTTAAATATTTTTTTATATATATTCGGAGAAAAAAAATTATTAATGTACAAAAAATATTACAATATATTAAAGACCTGTGTAAATTTGTTCTTCTTAAAGGATTTCTTTTTTCTTAAACGCTTATGGTGGCGTGACCTTTTTGTTAGATGGGCGAAAGGGTAAAGTTGGAGGATAACATCAAGAGAAAGATGAATAGCAGTAACAGAGATTATGCAGTCAGAGTAATAAATAGACAGTTCTTAAAATTCATTACAGCTGGGAAGGAGGCGGTGGGTTGGGGGTGAGGGGTTAAGGGTTGTAAGGTGGAGACCGGAAAATCTACAAGGGATATCCATATGCAATAAAAGTGATCATGTGCAAATCAAAACATGAGGACAAACAATACTTACACTGTGTTGGGTCTAGCACAGGCATGGCAGCTTTCTGGTCAGAGGTCAGCATGGCAAAGAGGTCGCGGTAATGGTAGCGCTTGATCTACAGAAGATACAACAAAGTTAGTCAGTAAGTAAACTCTAAGTTCATAGCAATGTAAAAGTAAAGTAAAAGTAAAGGACCATTTTCCACGCCTTCAGGTGTTGTGGGTATATAGGGTTAGACCTAATTTTATAAACTAATCAGCATTCGGTGGGTGATGTGATCAACATCCTGCCGGCTGCCTTTACTTCCCAGGACTATGCCTGGTACCCGCTCAAGGCTGGGTCGACCTGGGAGCCAAGGTCATTTTTGAAAAAAGTTCCGGCATCATCATGATCTGAACCCATGACCTTCCGTCTAACCACTACTCCCCGGTGGATTTCTCATAGCAATGGGTCATCCCATAATAACTCTGCTGCTGTGCCAACAAATGCCACACAAAATGCCTGTCACTGACGTCACTGTCATAAGTGAAAACTGAAATACACAGCAACACCGATACAATTACAGTGTGCATCATCATCATCAGGTGCCTTGCTGACTAGCATGGGCAACCACTGGGCAATCATGCCTCTCTACAATCTGCAATCTCCTGCAGTATGTATTAGTTCGTGTGCTGACACACCTCCTTGCCTTGCAACAAGACTGTTAAAAATCTTCTCTCGCTGTCTTCCTCTATTCCTACTTCCACAGATCTTTCCAGTGATCACAACATATTCCATTTTTCCTCTTCTCATAACATGGCCGAAAAAAATGATGACTGTCTCCTTCTGATATCTGTGATAGGTTGTCTTCGGGCTCCCGCTTCCTTGAAAATCTCTTGGTTGCTCTTTTTGCTGTCCAAGTTATTTTAAGCATTCTTCTGTAAAAAGACATCTCTGAGGCCTTAAGAAACTGTTTGGCCTGCCTACCGATTTTCCAGGACTCACAGCCATATGTTAACAGCGTGCACAAGCATGAAATTTACAGCACAATTGCATATTGTGCCGAGATCAAAACTCTATCACTACAATTGCAGTTCATTCTCACTGGAGCATAGGAGCTAGACAATGGAACTATGTGCTTCAAGACTATATATGGGGAAAATACAACAGTAAACCATGGTAAGAGGCAACAACATGCCAAGGCTTTAGTGGACCAACCACATATCCACCATATAGGATCAGAAGTATAGTAAGTAAAGCAAAAGAACCCTTTCCACGCTTTCTGGCCCATTCGATATACAGGATTAGACCTAAATTGTATCTACCAAATGGCACTCGATTGGTGATGCGGTCAACATCATGCTGGCCACCTTTACTTCCAAGGACTTTTTCTGGTACCCATGAGTTAAGTAGAGTCAAGAATTGACACACAGCACTCGGGGCAGTCCCATGCATGTTCCGTTCTCATATTCAGCAGCCAGTGCAGAGTTCCAGTACTGATGGTACCGGTCACAATCTGGTTATATGTCCGTCTTGCCTTTTCTCTGAGTGTATTGAGCCGTCCAGACCCTCTGGGTACACAAAGAAGCCTCATTCTCTCCAGGCCATAACAATGTTTTATCTCTACTGATTCCATTGCTTGTTCCCAAAGGGCCTTGACCACATCTGCCTTGTCATGTATCACTTCACCACCCAGTGGTGCAGATCCAGCCAATCTGTCTGCCTGTTCATTACCCACCATGCCCTGGAGAAAAGATCTAAAGTATCTGGTACCTATCTGAGCTGCATCAACCTGGAAGCCATAGTCATTTGTTTTGTTTTAAAAAAAAAAAGTCTGGATCAGTTTGGATTTGAACCATTGATACTGAGATCTATAGGTAAGCGTCTATCGGCAACATCATGGCAGCTCCCAGAAGTATGGTACAAACGTTTTGAAAATACAGTTGGTCACCTGGAGTATGCACCAGATGAGATTTTTAGAAAGTGTGCACTTTTTGTGTCTGCAGTTTCTTTTTTGTTTTGTTTTTAATGTGCCTAAATAGAAATGTTTGCAAATTGTAACTGAATAACAGAGCATGTTAAGAAAGGTGAAGACAAGCATGCTTCGTGCAGAGTGGCAAGCATCACTTCAAAGGTCCCGGGTAGTTAGAATCCTTTGTATATTTTCTCCAGGTCATGCCGGTGTGTTGGGAAATGATCAGGCAGATTGACTGGCCGGTTCTGCACCTCTTGGTGGTGAACTGATGTATGACAAGCTAGATGTTGTGAGGGCCCTTTGGGAACGAGTGAACAGTGAGGAAGCACAGATAGATCATTACGGTCTGAGGAGAATGGCGCTGCGACGAGTTACCAGGGGATGTGGCCGACACTCAACACTTAGGGAAAGGATAAGACGGATAAACAGTCAGATAGTTACTGGTGCAATCGGAACTGGAACACTTCGCCTGCTGCTAAAGTTGGGGACAGAGCACTTATGGGAGTGTCCCGAGTGCTGTGATGTCGATTCTTAATTCAACATTCAACAAATGTGTGCAACAAAAAAGGGTTAAAATGAAAAGGGACAGACCTGGTGCTGGAACTGCTGAACTGTTAGATGTGGACTTTCTCTGTTCAGCACGGCTTCCATGGCCAGGGGCTACAGATTATGCAGAAATAAAGAATTTGATCTGTAATGGCTTTATCTTCTTCTGCTTCCTCTTCTTCTTCTTCTTCTTCTTCGCTGTAAACTCCAGCAGAAAGTTCCAGTTGTTCGTCCACTTCTGGACTTTGGTCTTGACCCAGACCTTGAGTTTTTAATGTGCATTTGTTTGACAGAGCTGGCCCATTTCTAGGCAGACTGTTGGTTCCTAGTCTCTCAGGCAGATAATGGTTTAATGATATGTTCTTTATGACTAATCAGACTGTCGGAAGAAGGTTGGTTAGCTGGTGGGTTGGTTCGTTTAATGTAAAGGATCAGTTAAAAATGATGGTGTTGTAACCATGTGGGTTCCTGGGTCCCAATTTATGGTGAAATACAGAAAAGACCCAATGCCTGCCCACACCCTACCCCCCCCCCCCCCCTTTCCCCTAAAAAACATGTAAAAGTCTATTGCTTGGGGCTATTTCCTTCAAAGCCGGAGTGTTTCTCCCTGAGAGATGAGGAATCAACAGTCTGCATACAAATAAGTCAGATCTGTAAAACAGATGTGGGTGCAAAACTTAACTTCTGGGACAAGACCAAAGTTCAAAAATAATTGAACAACCAGAACTTCACCAAAGTTTTCAGCTGCTGAACAATTAGTAGAAGAAGAAGACAGGACACACATAAACAACAATATAACTATAATTTTTTGAGGTTTGAACAACCGATCAACATCAAGGTACACAGGTAGTAACCCATAAGTGCTCTGTTCTCTCTTCTAACTCAAGTCTGAGTCCAAAGAAGCTCAGCACAGTGCACAGGCTCTGTAGCACTGGCGAGGATCCTGAAATACCTTGGGTAGATTTTTAGCTCACAATTTTTGCCAGGGCAGCACCGTTAGGCTACTCTTTTCGTTTTCAAACTGCCAGGGATTTTTTACATGTGAAACAATGCACATGGGCGTCCGATCTGACTACCCAGAGACCAGGGGGAATTACTAGAAGTCCAAGTCCACATGAAAATATCCCAGCCCTTACAGGGACTAAACCCGGAACCTCTAGCACTCGAGGCGGACACCACGCCTCGAGACCACGCAGCCCCCAACTATAATGTTTTTACGTTGGAACTTTGGGAGCGTACCAAAAAAGGCAGACAAATAAAAAAAAAACATCAAGAATGGAGCTAGAGAGTACGGTAAAAAAGCTGGGAAGGCCATGTGGTGAGCTGTATGTGAAAGAGAAGGATAGGATGACGTGGCGTGAGTTGCTGAGGCACGACCAGCACCAGCTGATGGGCTGTGCTGCTGGCGTCACCAGGTCGGGCTAACGATGCGGTTCTCAAACAAGAAATAAACTTTCTTCGTCAGTAGCAAGGGAAGACAACTTAAACTTGAACTTTTGAATATCTACATGCCTTCTTGAACCCTACCAGACCTGAGGCCCTGAACCTAACTGTCCCCTATTCCTGAGCTCTTGGGCATTAAAGCGAAAAAACCAACATGATATATAAAAATATTCATTACATGCAAACAAGTGGCTAGAATACGATGAAACTTGGAGAAATTGTAGAAAATAGGCTTATCTTTTATCTAGGGCCAATATTCCACCTTTGTGTGTCAATCCACTCAGGAGGATCAAGACTGTTTCACAAAGTGAGCACCAGATGCTGCTGTTTAAGCACATTACCCACCAAGTGCCAATTAGTCTATAAAATATAGGTCTAGCCCTATATGCCCAATATCCATGAAGAAATGAAAAACAGTCCTTTGCTTTACTTACTTAAAACAGGCAAAAGTTATAAACTTATCTAAAATCATGCAGACATTAGAGGGTTCATTGACTGAAATACACAACAACAATAAAACAGATTATTACATCATCAGACAAATATCCTCACTTACCGACTGGCATTCCTTCAGCTTCTCATACTCCAAGCCAAGAAGAGTTGCTATAACAACTGCCAGCCACTCAGTGCTGAACCCTGGGACATCTAGGCCTATAATGTACTGATCCCAGACATACTTCAGGGTTTCAAAGTTTAAGTAACCTGCACAATTTTCAGACAAACCACAACATTTAAGTGACCTGCAAAGTTTTCAGACAAACCACAAAATTTAATTGACCTACAAAGTTTTCAGACAAACCACATTTAAGTGACCTGCAAAGTTTTCAGACAAACCACAACATTTAAGTGACCTGCAAAGTTTTCAGACAAACCACAACATTTAATTGACCTACAAAGTTTTCAGACAAACCACAACATTTAAGTGACCTGCAAAGTTTTCAGACAAACCACAACATTTAATTGACCTACAAAGTTTTCAGACAAACCACAAAATTTAAGTGACCTGCAAAGTTTTCAGACAAACCACAAAATTTAAGTGACCTGCAAAGTTTTCAGACAAACCACAAAATTTAATTAACCTACAAAGTATTCAGACAAACTACAAAATGTAAGTAATGTGCAGCATGTTTGGACAAGATTTAATATTTAAGCAGCATGCAATACTTTTAGACAAAATCCAATATTTAAGTGCAATATTTTTACACAAACCTACTAATTTAAGTAACCTGCAACATTTTTAGACAAGCCTTAATTTAAGTAACCTGCAACATTTTTAGACACACTCCAATATTTAAGTAACATACAGCATTTGTAGACAAACTTACAAAATTAAGTAAATGGAAGATTTTTAGACAAACCTACAAATTTAAGTAACCTGCAAAATTTTTTGGCAAACCTACAAATTTAAGAAACCTGCAACATTTTTTGACAAACCTACAAATTTAAGTAACCAGCAACATTTTTTGACAAACCTACAAATTTAAGTAACCTGCAACATTTTTTGACAAACCTACAAATTTAAGTAACCAGCAACATTTTTTGACAAACCTACAAATTTAAGTAACCTGCAACATTTTTTGACAAACCTACAAATATAAGTAACCAGCAACATTTTTAAAACAAATCTCAAAATCTAAGTGTAATATTTTTTGGGTAAACCCTAACAATTGAGAAATCTGCAGTATTCTAAACAAACCCAAAATTAAGTTGTGTAATTTTCAACCCTAGACCTTTTTTGGGTATCTAGCCGTTATGCTACCATGGTCTTTAAGTGACAACTGGTCAATTAAAAAAGGGCTAGAACCTTATGTCCAATATGATACAAAGCATGTCAACAGGTCTTCTACTTTTTACTTTAAACCAGCGGTTTTCAACCTGCCGGTCGTGAACCTTTTTTGGGCCGACTGACTGTTTTACAGGGGTCGCCTAAGACCATAGGAAAACACATTCACTGAAGTTATAAAGAAAAATAATTTTTGTGTGGGTCACAACAGCATGAGGGAACTGTTTTAAAGGGTCGCAGCATTAGGAAGGTTAAGAGCCAATGCTTTAAACAAAGCATTCACAAAACAAGAGAAAAGAGCAAAGAAATTAACAAAGAGTTGTCTCACCAATTAGCATTGTTCGTGTCATTGGTCGAATTAACTCTTTCAGACCTTCCAACAGCAAGGCCCTTGAACCTTTTTCTGTTGCCACAATTTTTTCTGAAACACAGTAGGGAAATAAGATCTTTGCTTTATAACTTTCAAACCAATAACTTAATTAATATATGTTTGCTTGTAAATTCCATTACCATCACTTTTCAGTCTGTGTAATGTTCATCTCTCTTACAATGCTTTTTAAATCATCTGTGTAACTTCAATTTTTCTTAAAATTTATTTTACTTCTAAAAAAATATTTTTCTTTTTTTTTCAAAATCATCTGTGTTCCTCCCATCTTTCCTAAAAAATTTTCAGCTCTGAAGATATTTCTAGTTTCTTTCTTTACTAACCTCTCCCTGGAACAAAGGATTTGGAAATCAAAGCATTCATTTGAGGATAATGTTTGTCCAGAATTGCAGCCACTTTGATCAAAAACCCTTTCAGTTCTTCATTGTGTGCCTGTGAAACAAACATCATAGAATTAATGTTAGATGCGATCTATGGGGAAACACACCTTATCAAGTGTCAAAGGGGTATGACACTCCAGTCACATACAAGAGCTACCTAGATGATGAAAATGACACTAATACACTCCTACAGGACAGCAGGAGTACAACAACAACAGCAGCACCACAATCAACCAGGTACAAGTAACAAGTTGCATCGTAACCCCGAACATTGCGTATGAAAACTATAATATACCACTCCAAGTTTGCTCCAATAGTGCAGTCAGTCTTTATTAATGAATTAATACACTGTGACGATGACGAATTTGTTATCAATGACTGACCCTGTCGGTCTATTGCTTCCTGTCAAATACACTCATACCGGCAGTCTCTAGAACCTACAGGGAACCACAATACACTTTTGTACTCTATGTCCAGATGGCTGCTATGAGCAACTCCTGCCTGACCAAATGAAATCCATCTTTCATGATGTGCAGTGACCATATTCTGATGAATCTCTCTATCCAAGATATCCCAACACCTGAGGCCTTGAGGCAGATGCACCAAAACTGGTGATGAAATTCCAGACAACAGACTGTTATCTAGTCACTTACTGAAGTATCCCAGATACCTCTCTATCACAGTGTCAGACTAGTCAAACCACAGTTATTATGACAAACTGTAGAACCTGAATACATTTGCCCCCCACCAACCAGTATGACACACAGATGCACAGTGCCGACCCCACTATATACAAGCCAACCCTTACACCATCTGTTATAAAATATCTACACTGACAGAATTCAGAATTCCAATTTCCAATACATTAACTTCAGCCAGACAGTCCATGTGTTCCAACAGAATAAAATCACTGTCACACGACACGTCCACATAGTGTCCTACTTCACTGAGTCAAGACTGCTGAAACAGGCTCCTTCGCAAGACCTGTGGTGGCCGCAGCTACCTGTGAATCCCAAGCTATGCCTGCTTTCACAAATTTTAAGTGGCCTGGGTATTTCACACCAGCCTCTGTTGCGTACTCATAAACACTCTTAGTGATTCTATCATACATTTAATTCCCTCTGTTTTGCATAGAAACCACTTAATCAATGTTTGTAGTTTATTAGTAACTTTTTAAATTTTTTTTAGCTGTTCTCCATGTTTCTGCTCCATGTGGCAGTACTGACTGCATGTTAGAATTAAGTTTAAAGTTTAATACTAGTTTTAATTTCTATCGATCTCCACAAATTTCCTTGTGCTACGCAAGATATTACCAGTTATTATTATTATGTTTTGTCTTGTCAACTATATTGTATGAAGACAGATACGAAATCATCTGAACAAGAAATACTGAAAGAAAGAACAAGAAATTTTGTGCTGTCTCCACAATGGACATTGACTGAAATGTATCCACTCAAGGTTAGTTGCGTATCCTTTACAGGATGTTGCAGAACCAACCCCAGCAGCCTCTGGCTGTTGTGTGGTTTCTCTAGGAAAATTTACGTCCAGTAGTTTGCCATTGCTTTCTGGACTTTCGAACCCCTGATACCACTGTTGAAACCAATGCAAGGCGCATGGCCTGTCAGCTGGGATCGAACCCGGCACCCCGGCATTACAAAGCGTTCACATCGACTTAGCCACCGAGCCAACGAAATGTACCCTCTGATAACTATTGGAATAGTAGGTGATGAGGACCAACAATATTCAATGGGGCCACGAGAGGTTGTATTTCTAAACTGGCCACTTCTTGTGTGGGTTAGGGAGCCCCATTGAGGTAGAAAACAAGAACCGACCCACTGCCTCCCCAACAGGCATATCGCAGGAGTCAACTAACGGCGGGCATCCTTCAAAGTACATCTGCCTGAGAGACAAGGAACCCAGAGTCTGCATATAAATAAGCCAGATGTGTGGAACAGATGTGCACACAACAATAAGATTCTGGAACAGGACTAAAGACCGGAGGTGGACAGATACCAAGAACTTTCTGCTGGAGTTGACAGCCAGTGAACATGAAGAAGAAGATAAACTGGTCACAACAGGAATTGAACCCTGGTAAATGCCAACAACTGCATTGTGGAACCAGTTCACTAACCTCTAGCCATAGAGCTAGGGAAATATTACCAGGTATAAAAGAGTCTTTATTTAAGGATGAACTTATGAAAGGTCACGAAAAACCGGCAGCGGATTTAAATGTGCACCACCAAGTGTTCTAGGAGCAGTTTATGACATTAGAGATCAAAGTTTAAAACAAGTTCAACACTTTAAATACTTAGAAGCATGTTTACATATGATGGCAGAACAGATAGAGCAACTGAAACAAGAATCCAACAAGCCAACAATGTCATGTATCAACTGACCTAAATTTTTAAACACCCGGCTATCCAAGTAGAGAGAAAAAAGACAGGCAATCCTCCTACCAACCTTGTGCTATCAGACTTGGACACTGACTAAAGAACATGAAAGAAAACTGACCACCTGGGAAATTAGATGTTTGAGAAAGGCTGTGAACAACACTAGAAGAGATCATGTGAGAAACAAATAAATTACTATTGGAACAACAATAATAAAATTACCTTAAAATTAAAAAAAAGAATGAAATCATCTGGCCATTTAATGTGAATGAATTCAATGATGCCAGCAACAAGAGCGTACAACATGAAAGTAGAAACACCAGAACGGAGAGGACGACCAAGGATAATATGGACTGAAGGAGTCACTGAGTCACCTTGAGAGTCCACAACATAACAGCATACTGGGCAACTGAGCATATGATAGCTTGGATACTGATACTATGTTATTTTGTGATGCCTCTCAGCATAAAGCAGAATATGGACAAAAGATGCAGTGTCAATACGTCATTTCAAAATTTATGAAGGTTTTTAAACAAATCAAATGATCAGATAAGAAATGTTATGAACACATCATTTTACCAGACATAAACATAAAGTAAGCTGACAACGTTTGTTTTTTCACAGGTTTTCAGTATTTCATTGTCGACAGCACTGTCCAATACCCATGTCGGTTCTACCGCCTTTTTTTATTGGGGGGGGGGGGGGGGGGGGTGGGAATAAGAATAAATTCACTGCGAACCCCTAACAGGCATGTCATAGACGGTGACTAAGTAGGGGTGATTCCTCCAAAGTCAGAGTGCATCTGTCTCCCAGCACAGGAACCAGCAGCCTGCATTCAAATAAGCCAGACATGTAAAACAGATGTGCGTGCACAAACTCAAGTTTTGCAACATGCCGTAAAGTCCAGAAGTGGATGAACAACCAGTATGTCCTAATGAAGTTTAAAGCTATCAAAAGGCTCAGAAAAATAGCATGCACTTCAGCAACAAAAGGAAAACACTTATTTTATAACTGAAAGAAATATAGCAAACGAACAAGTTAAGAACAAACCTCAGATCCTGAATCAACAACAAATCCTGGCCTTGTGCTCATGTACGTCAGGTATTCCTCCACCAGCAGGGCAACCACTTTGGCTGAGACTGGCTCTCGTCTGCTCAAACAGAAATGAAAGTTAAAAACAGTAGCTCTTCTATGTTTACTCATACAGATATGAAAGTTAAAAACTGGAGCTTTTCTATGTTTAATCATACAGAAATGAAAGTTAAAAACAGTAGCGCTCATTGTTTACTCATACAGATATGAAGTTAAAAACAGTAACTCTTCTATGTTTACTCATACAGATATGAAAGTTAAAAACAGTAGCTCTTCTATGTTTACTCATACAGATATGAAGTTAAAAACAGTAACTCTTCTATGTTTACTCATACAGATATGAAGTTAAAAACATGAGCTCTTCAATGTTTATTCATCTTGGAGCAACTCTAACACAGTGCTTAGATACCTTATGAAAAACATAACGTCTATGTCAGCTATATAAAATCAATTACAATGAACAGAGAATGTTGAAGTGATTAGTCTTCATCAGCAAAACAACAATAAGAAACAAAACACACACAAATATACTGTCTCTAAATTAACTACAATAAAATATTGTATAAATTAAGAAATAACAGATGACAGATTTATATGAAGCTTTACTTCAGTCAACTCATTTTCATTATAAATTCTGAGAGGCAACATGACCAATTTTTTTTATTTTTTTAGGCCTTGGAGAGAAAAATTATTTGTAGAATTTATTGATCAGCCTAAACAAAAAGAGCAACCCAGATGTTTTGAAAGAGGTGAGGGCTCAAAGGCAAACTAATCACAAACATCAGACAGGGACAGTGACCATGTTGTGCTCCTGTTATGAGACGAAGGAAACTGGGACGAGTTGTGATTACCGAAAGATTTGTGGAAAAAGAAACACAGGAAGGCAATGCAAGAAGAATTTTGACAACCATCTGTCATGGCATGGGGGAGGGTGACAACACCCGAACTGATATTGATCCCTGCTGATCTGTTGGCGACTTCTGCTACCGTCAATGATGAACTGCATTTCTGTTGTCAGACTGTTTGTGTTAGCACTTCTGATGGCTACCGTATGCTTTTAATGCGTGTGTATGCTAGTGCATTTGCTGAGACAGCAGTCTGTCAACCTTTCTACAAGGGACTGCGACGAACATTCTGTGTGTTTTTCATTAGCACAGGAGCGGAGCAACTATGGGGTGACTCGTTTTCAATGAAGTTGAAACTAAGATTACCAAGATTATCCGAACTGATACATGTTGTTAAAGATGGCATGTTGACCACACCAGTCGGCAAGGCTCTTGACTATGATGAGTTCTGTCTTGCTTACCTTGATATGCTACCATCAGCAACAATCACAAATGGGACCACCAGGAAATAATCAATATCTCTGAGTCTGCTGCTTGTCTGTTGTCTGCTATGATGGTAGGACAAGGTGGCTTTCATTGCGTAAAAATGTCCTGTGTGTTGTAATGAAGTGAAACCAATTTTTACAGTGGAATCATACATACATCTAGTTAGCAATATGGACAAAGTTGGCAGGAAAGTTTAAGAGAAAACATCTTTGTGTACCAAGAAATACATCACATGTTGATTTATAACTAATTGTATTGTCATCTGTCACCAAAAGAGTTTTAAAAACCTCCTAATTTTTTTATTAAATGAATTTTTATTATGGTATACAATTTTTGAAAGCTATAAGGCATTAGATCAAGCACCAATTCTAATATGAAATAATCATTAATGTACAGATTTTAAAAAAACACATGAAGAATGAATAAAACAAATATTAATAAACTATAAACATTAATTAATTAGTGCTTGCATAAAATATAAGAAATGAAACAGTCAGTCAGAATCATCATTACATAGCTCACTTTCTTATTCTGTAAAAATCGAAACAGTCAACATCATGAGACAAACAAAATCTGCTTGAACCAGAGGTTAGATATTGTAACCTCTGACCTTCTTTAAACCCACAAAGCATGATTAATTTTAGGACTTTGAACATCCACAAATGTGTGCACTCACAGACAGACAGACAGACAGAGAGACAGACAGAGAGACAGACAGAGAGACAGACAGAGAGACAGACAGAGAGACAGAGAGACAGACAGACAGACAGACAGACAGACAGACAGACAGACAGACAGACAGACAGACAGACAGACAGACAGACAGACAGACAGACAGACAGACAGACAGACAGACAGACAGACAGACAGACATTATATTTTCAATTAGCCATTTCCAGGCAATCATTGTTAGTCATTCAGGCGCTCCAAAGTATCTGTAACATTCTTCTCAAGAACCATATCTCAGTTGTCTTCAAATCTTTTCAATTTGTTTGCTAACATTCCAAGATTCACTGTCATACACAAAAAAAGGCTCAATAAAACATTTCAGTACTCGTTTTCTGATGTTTAATGAGAGTGATTCATTACATAAGATGTCTTTCCTCTTCTGAAAGTCTGCCTCAGCCTGGCAGATTCTGCTCTTATTTCTGTTACATATCGTACATCTGATGTTATGATTGTCCCTAAATACTTGAATTTACTGACTTGGTTAAGCACTTTTCCTTCTATTGCTATGCCACATTTTGGAGTTATTGTCTTCGTCAATATAATTATTGTTTCTGTTTTCTTGACTTTCAAGGAAAGACCATTTTTTGGACTCTAAAACCACAATTTTTATAATGCCGGGGTGCTGGGTTCGATCCCAATTGCTGGCCTTGCACTGGTTCCGACCATGGTATCGAGAAGCCGACCGTTCAGAAGCAATGGCAAACTACTGGACGTAAATTTGCCTAGAAAAACCACAACAGCCAAAAAAATGCTGGGGTTGGTTCTCCAACGTCCTGTAAAGGATACGCAACTAACATTTAGTACCACAATCTCTAATAGCTGTTGTAGGTCTTATGATACACTCTGCTTGTAACAATAACATACCTACAGACCCCTTGAGGTCTCTGAAGGTTGGTTCTGCCAATACCATCTGCTCAACCTTCTGAGAGATGTCCAAATCCTGTGAGGAAATGGCTGCCCTGGGATTTTCATTCAGCAATTCAACATATGTTTTTCTGACTGAAAAAAAAAAATGAACAATGTCACTAAACACAACAACTAGCTGGTAATAGTGTAAAAAAAAAACTTCTAAAATAATAAACACTCCATAGTACACAATCAAATACAGTGAATCATGATAATTATCATCATCATCATCCAGTGCTGTTTTTTCAAATGAATTTTGCCCGTGATTAAACTTGAATATTATATATTTAGCATCTTCTTCATCCATCATTCAAGCAATCAGGTGCCATCTGCGTAAAAAGAAGGCTGGCTGGAATAGATCTTCAATATTCTGTCTCTCACATCTCAGCACAGTCAGCTCCAGATATGAGACCAACAGCTCAAATGGGAATTCCAATTTTTGTGAGGCTGGCGTGGCTGGTCGGTGGTAACAACTGTTATCAAGGAGATTTATACACATACTAAACTACAGTTTTATAAATTTGCAACATGTTTTATTGAATGGATTATTATTTTGAAGATAAATAAATGGGCTATTATAAAATATTCATCTTCACAGTGATAATTAATTCAATAACACATGTTGCAAATTAATTAAACTGTAGTTCAATTTGTGTATAAATCTGCCAGCCTCACAAAAACGGGAATTCCCATTTTAGCTGTGTGGCCTTATATCTGGAGCTGGAGCTGGCCGTGCATCCTAGTTAGGCACTCTGACAGACTGCTGTTCATCTATCTATGGGTGTTATCTTCTCCATGTATCAATGTATACTTCTTGCTTATCCACCTAGAAATTTTCTTACAGATTTTTTGAAAAAAAAATAAATTAAGAGATGAATGTTTCCTAATGTGGTCAAAATATTTAAGTTGTCTTCTTTTTATTTATTTCCTGAACTCTCTTTCCTTTGTATTTGATGAGTTTTTTCTCTCTCCAAGAAATACAATATATTCTTCTTCTTCTTCTTTATTTCCACATCTCCAGTCTGAATTCAACTTTTTTCAAATTGTTGTTTCTTGTCCAGGCTCCTATAAAAAAAAATAGTAGTAGTGAATATGCATTACACTTGACAATTCTCATTTTGAATGTGCTGTTTCTTTTTCTTGTTCTTCTTTGGGTTCGGGAGTCACAGAGGCGTTGGTGGCTAGATGCCTGCCTGTGGATCGGCAGGTCGTTGGTTCGCGTTCTGACAGAGCAGGACTTTGTTTCGAAAATGACCTTGGCTCCCACATCGACCCAGCCTTGAGTGGGTACCAGGTCCAGTCCTGGGAAGTAAATGCGGCTGGCGTGATGCTGACCACATCACCCATCAAGTGCTGATTGGTCTATAAAAAATATAGGTAGCCCTATATTCCCAATACGCCTAAAGGCCCGGAAAAAGGACCTTTTTCGTTGCGTTTGATTTTGTATGCTCAGGCGCTTCACGGTTCCCCACAGCTTGTTCTGCACACTTTGCTCTTGAGGCAGGTGTCTTTTAGAAATTGTAGGTAGAGTGGGCAGGTCTGCAGATTGTGCTCAGGTGTTGATATGCACACTGTGGGGACTGTACATACTTTATTTTATGCATGTGGTAGTTGAGTCTGGAGTGTCCTGTTCGGAGACGGAAAATTTTTTAATGCTGCTTTTTGTTGAGTCTGGCTGATGGGGTCTTGTGGATGTTTACTGTTGGTTTGTTCCCGCCACAATTCCTTGTATTTTCTCTTGATAAGTGTTTTGATTTCTATTAAATTGTTTCTCCTTTGTTCCATTTTTTGCAAGTCTGTCTGTTAATTCACTTTCAGATAATGTGCTGTTTAACGTTCTAGATATTAATGCTATTTTAAAGATGTTGGAAATATTTTTTGGCCATTCCTACTCTTTATTTGTTTCTGTTCATCTTCTTTTGTATGAATTAAGAACTGTATGGAAGGAGTGAGACTGGAAGTGCGGAATGTTAGATGGGTCTGCATGCCCAATTCTTAACCCTGTGGAAATAAACTTAGATTGTTCATTCCTCAATTTAATTCTTCCATCCGCTGTTATTATGTGTCCAAGATGGGAGAAAGCTGACCAGTGTTCTGGTGTCTCTTCGATTGCTGTGATGTAAATTGTAGTCTGCTCCTTTCCATTACTAAATATCAATAGTTTTTTAGATACTAAAAAACTAACAAACGCTCACCTGCTGGCCTGAAGGTCTTGGGTTCAAATCCGCATCGAGTCAGAATTTTCCTTTGAAATTGATTTTGGCTACCAGGCCGACCCAGTCATAAAATGGGTACCAGGGATTGTCCTGGGAAGTAGAGGCAGCCACACAATGTTGACCAACATCATCCACCAAGTGTCAATTGGTCTATAAAAATATCAATCTAGAATCAAATGCCAATATGCCATTGACGTGAGAGGAGACCTTAAATTATTTTTTTTTTTTTCAACTTTTGAATAAACAAACTGGAACACAATGTTTGGTACTCACTCTGTGGGTTACTAAGGTAGAGATGCCAAGCAAGTTGCCTGATTGGCTCTGGTAAAGGCTGATTGAAGAGAATGTGAAGTTTGCACTTCATATCTGGCCAACGTTTTAACAAACTCATGGCTCCTTCCTCCGCTGCCTCAATCACCAAATCAGATCGTGTATCTGTAAATTGTATATTCTATGTTACGTTAAAATGGTCAAGCTAGTCCACTAAATGATACCATCAGTGGGATGAGATGTTTTAAGCTAACACACACACTAGGTCATGACATAATGAGGATAGGGTGACCAATTTTCTTTCTTAACATAATCTTTCCCAGACAGGTCTACATCCCAGCATGGCCAGAATTCAGGGTACTATGTAACTATTGAGTGCCCTAATCTAACTACTTTATGCTGTTGAACAGCTCGCAATCGTAAAAAGAAAAAGAAAAAAGATTCACCAATGAAAAACTAAGAACAATGGTAGGCAATGTACCAATAAATTATTTTATAGAACATCAAAGAATCAAGTACTATCAGTAGTGGAACTCTTCACTGTGAAACCAATGCCATAAGAGAGACCAAACGATGTGAAGCTTTCAGTTTCATGGATTTTTCACTGAACAGACTGCATACACTGGGTGTAGCAATTGGAGCAGTGAGACAGGAAAACCATGAGGGAGCCAAGTACAGTTACATCAACCAGAAAAGAATTGGAGCTGTTAGCATTAAAAACACTTGGAGACATACTCATGAGGAGATAGGAGCCCTTATGGTCATGTCTGATGTGTGATGAAGATGATATCTGAATGAAAAATGAACTGTGAAACTATTACTTAATATATTGGCAACTATTAATCCCTTTGGTTCTTTTTTAATTATCTTACCCCAGATGACGTCATAGGACAGTCCAACATTTTAGAGTGTGGTAAGACTGGGTTTCCTGGCTTTCTGATGCTCTTAATGACCCTAAAACATCTGTAAATGGCCCTAACTCCAACCCACCTAGGTCCCATGAGAAAGTGCAGCCTAGGTCCCACGAATGCATGCAGCCTAGGTCCCATGACTGCGTGCAGCCTATCTACCACCCCCTGAAATATTAGACTGTTCAGGGACCTATGAATTTCCCTTGTTTGGGATAAGATATAAATAAAGCACCATCCCTTTTAACAACAATAAAAAGACACAAAATTCAGTGTTGTGGACTTTCAGTATAAGACTTCCCGTGTGGGTTCGGGGGCTCCATTTTGGAGAACACAGAATAGACCCACAGTCCCCTGACTAACATGTAGTACACAACAAAAAATTAGGGGTGTTTCCTTTGGAGTCGGAGTGCATCTGCCTGACAGGTAACTGACCAGCAGTCTACATAAAAAAAAGATAGTAAAATAAAGGTCTCTTTTCTGTGCCTTTAGGTGTATAGGGAATATAGGGCTAGACCTGTATTATTATAAACCAATCAGCACTTGGTAAGTTATGTGGTCAGCATCATGCCGGCCGCCTTTACTTCCCAGGATTGCACATGGTCCCCACACAAGGCTGGTTCAACCTGGGAGTCGAAGTAATTTTGTTTTTTAGTTCGACTTCGTTGGATGCGAACCAATGACCTTCTGATCGGCAGGCGGACGTCTAGCCGCCAATGCCACGGCAACTATATAGATAAGCTGGAACTGAAAAAATGGATGTGCAAGAAAAACTCAGGCTACGGATCAAGACTAAAGTAGTCCAGGTGTGGACAAACAACCAGAATTGTCTACACTGTCCACTTTTCAAAACCATACTACAGGCCTTAGTGTAAGGGCAGAGAAAAGAAGATAAACCAGAAGAGACCTGGACCCAAAATCTGGCTGACCAGAGTGGCTTGAAACATAAAAATTATCAAGTCCAACACATCAAATTGCCAGAAATGGAAAGGTATGATCAAACAATTATCAGTAACTCAGTGACCCAAAGACACCCAGTGTTAAGTGACTTAATTTCCCCATGTGGGTTCTAGAGCACCATTATGACATGGTGGGTAATGAACAGGCAGACAGATTGGCTGGATCTGCACCACTGGGTGGTGAATTGATACATGACAAGGCAGATGTGGTCAAGGTCATTTGGAAACAAGCAACAGAATCAGTAGAGAAAGCTTATTATTATGGCCTGGAGAGAGTGAGACACCTGGGTGTAACCAGAGTGTCTGGCTCACTACACTCAGAGGAAAGACTAGACAAACATATAACCAGATTGTCGCCGGTACCATCAGTACTGGAACTCTGCGCTGGCTGCTGAAGATGAGGATGGAGCATGCAAGGAAATGCTCTGTGTGCTGTTATGTCAATTCTTGACTCAACTCAACTGTGGGGAAAAAAATAAAGAGTAGCCCCATTGCCCCCTAATAATCATGTTGTAAAAGCTGACTAATGAGGGTGTTGCCTTCAGAGTCAGAGTGCATTTGCCTGAGAAGTAAGAGACCAACAGTCTGTATATAATGTAAAGGTCCCTTTTCTACACCTTTAGGCATATAGGGCATATAGGGCTAGACCTATATATTTATAGACCAATCGGCACAAGATGGGTGATATGGTCACCATCAAGCTGGCCACCTTTACTTCCTGAGACTGCACCCACTCAAGACTGGGTCGACCTAGGAGTCAAGGGCATTTTAGAAAAAAGTCAGGCTCCGCCAGAAAGCGACCCAGGACTTTCCGATCCGCATGCGAACATCTAGCTGCTACGCCTCGGCGACTCCCAAAAGTCTGTATATAAATAGGACAAAATGACAAATGGATATGCAAGCAGAACTCAAGTTCTGAAACAATTCTAAAGTCCACACGTTTACAAACAGCCAGAAATTTCCACCAGAGTTTACAGCAAGTGAACGTGAAGAAAAGGAGGTTTTGACCTAACTTCTTCTGTCCCTGACAATTATTTCTTCAGCACTGCATATCCTGAAGTTATTGTAATTTACAGGGACAAATCTGAAGTTTTGGGGAATGGAAAAATACAAACCTGGAACAGAAGTACATTAACAACTGAGATACAGTAGGTTAACAAAACAGATGAATTTGACAGTAAAAGATCACAATTGTGTACCATGTAAAAAATAATTAATAAATGTACTGTGAGTTTGTAGTGTTGAAAAAAGTGAAGACAAGCAGAAGATGGACACACATCAGGAGTGAAATCATGATGACTTACTGGAGGGATAATCATCAAGTAGTTGCTTGCTGACTTGCTCATTTAGGTGAATGTCCATCAGAGCAGAGACTTTATTCAGCAGATATTTCGAAGAGGAACCTGAAATTGATTATAAAGCTGTTTGAACATGAAACTGATTATAAAGCTGTTTGAACATGAAATTGATTATAAAGCTGTCTGATCCTGAAATTTATTATAAAGCTGGTTGAACCTGACATTGATTATAAAGCTGTTTGAACCTGAAATTGATTATAAAGCTGTTTGAACATGAAATTGATTATAAAGCTGTTTGAACATGAAATTGATTATAAAGCTGTTTTCTTAAACCTTCTTCTTCTGTATTTTATCCTCCCAAAGGAGCATAAACCATCAACAACCTCACTCCAAGTCATTCTTTTTCTTCTTCTTTATCTTCCGTGTTCATCCAAAGATGTAAAAGTGTTGTGCTCGTTTACAGCATTGCTGCAATATTTATGCCTTTTCGGGCCGACATATCTAACTTCTGGAGGCATTTGTTGACCGGGTTAGCCTCCTAGATAGTTTCATGGGACATTGCAGTCTCATTGTGTTGTGTGGTCATTTTTGTTTTCCAGGTCACAAGTGGTGGCCCAGATCAAGCTGATCAAGAGAAGTCGTGTAATGCTGGTCAGCCCTCAAGAGAAGGCAGGGACAGAACATGAGCATTCCCCACCATCCAAGGAGGCTTTCATAAATGCAGAGTCAATACAAGGTGATCTGCTACTGGGCTCACCCAAGGAATCAACCCTCAAGAGAAGGCAGGGGCAGAACATGACATTCCCCACCGTTTTAAGTGGTGTGCCATAGGAGCTACACCCACCTGGTGCAACCTTCAGTTGTGTGTGGGTAACAAGCCTGATCTAAGACTTTATCGAAGATAATAGAAAGTCTCACTGTGACATTTTTAATAAAGATTTCTGCAGTACAATTTAAATATCTTCCAAATTAGTAGTTAAAACTTTTACTGAAGATTTCTGCAGTACGATTCAAGCATCTTAAAGATTGGTAGTTAAATTGTTTACTGAAGATTTCTGCAGTACGATTCCAGCATCTTAAAGATTACTAGTTAAAGCTTTTACTGAACTTTCTGCAGTACGATTGCAATATCTTCCAGATTAGTAGTTAAATCTTTGTGGGTTCTGGGGCCCCATTTGGGGGAGGGGGCAGTGCCCCCTAGTAAGCATCTCATTAGTGGAGACAAATTAACAGTTCGTTGAAATCAGTGTGTAGGGCCAAACAAGAGCTTTTGAGCTGAAATGCTATAGAAAGATTCTCAGAATACCATGGACAAAGAAGATAATAAATACTGACATTCTAAAAAACCTGAACATCAAGGAAGATTGGCTTATAAACAGCATCTTGCATTGGAAGCTAATATTTTGGCCCTATTAAGTGGAAAAATTATTAGCAGAAGGCATGGTATCAGGAAGGAGGGGCAGAGGTCAACTAACACAAAGATGGAAACAGGATATAAGTGACTCCTTGGATATTAAATGAATGAGGCAGACTGTGATCACAGCAGCATTCTGCACAGGACCTGCCACATGGTGATGATAAGGGCCAATTGGCCTAGATGTTATAAGAATCGACGTCACTGCACACATTGGGTGTTCCTATGCATGCTCAGTCCTCCGATGCAGCACCCACTGCAAGGTATTGTTTCCATTTGGAGTTGGTTATAATGTCTCCCATCTCAGCCTCGAAGGCGGCCGGACATGCTTCCTCATGCTTTACTCCCAAGTCACACAATCATGTTAGTGTCAGAGATTTGTAGACATCACAGCCTAGCTGTAAACTACACAGAAAGTGTCAACTATCATTTTACGGGTGAATGCTGAGAAGGAAGAGGTGGTTAAAGAGTTGATTATATTGATTACCTTTCTCTAAAGCTTTGGCCGCTCGCTGCATGAAGAGTTCTTTTTCAGCTTCTGAGAGATCTGTAAAATACTGGACATGGCTCTCTGCAAGCTGTTGTTGTATGGCTTCATGTAGTTCATGAACATAAGAATTCCATTCCTGAAAACGATAATATGAAATCCTTATTTCTCTTTATTAAAACTATTTACAAAACATGGGTCTAGCATCATATGTCCAATGGTGTGACAAAGGTTCTTCATTGTTTTACATTTTTTCTTACATACAGAAACTTGGTTGAACCGAGAGGCAACTAAAATCTGTTGTCTCTAAATACAGTAGAACAAGTGTTAGTTGTGTATCCTTTACAGGATGTTACAGAACCAACTCTATCATTATTTGGGTGTTGTAGTCCTTCTAGGCAAATTTTACATTGAGTAGTTTGCCACTGCTTTCTGACTGATCAGCTCTCAAAACTAACAACAACAAAAACCGTCAGCAGTTGGAATCAAGCCCGGCACCCTGGCATTACGAAGCTCGTTCCTAATGCCCAAGCCAAGGACACCAATGAATCACAGGTGTACTTTAGCGTTAACACTTTGAAAAGGCAGATTTGAATCCAGGATTATAATTTTTATGTTGTCTAGTATTTTGTCTTTGACCTTTCTATACTCATGTACACATAAAACACCAGGAACTGTTTCGCAGACCACTTGATAGCTAAGAAAAAACAAAATTAAAAGGTGTAGACAGCAGTTTGTTCGTTTAATCAGACATCACAAAATTACCCAAGGGGCTTAACTCTTCCAGGCCTATGAATTTTGACAGATTTGGCTCACATTAATTTCCCTCTAAAAAAAATGGCAGAGGAGTGGTGTAAAAAAAAGGGGGCAAAGAAAAAAAAGATGTTCCAGTGCCCCTGGTTGTGGCGGTATAATAGGGCCCATGACTTTTTTCTGATGAGACATAATGGTGCAATGCTTAACAGTACTGGCACCTTTGTAAGGCTTCATTTGTTAAGCATTAGACACTCGGTGATGAGTAGCAGCAACTTTTTTAGATTATTTATGGTCAATACTTTCACCTTTCTTTATAGAAAAATAGCTCTGGTGGTAGTGGTGTTGGTAGTAGTGGTGGTGTTGGTAGTGGTGGTGGCGGCGGCAGTAATAATAGTAAGTAGTAGGACTAGTAACAGTAAATAAGTAACTGACACTTCTCTGTCCAGGTTTATTTTGTTTATAGATATGGATGTGGGAGCGTAGTAGCTAGTCGCCTGTCTGCCAGAGCAAATGTCCTAAGTTCAAACTGGTACCAGATAGGTTATGGTGGGGGAATAACTTTACTTTCTGGTCGACCCAACCAGGGAATGTCCTGTGAAGTAAAGCAGCTGGTTGTTCACATATGAAACACACATCGAGTCGATTGACTCAGATATTGATTAGTCAATATAAAATGCAATATAAAATAGCAGTAACTGAACCAGAGGTCGACCGTGCAGAATATGGGCCGCAGAAATGTCAGAGACACTAAAAATTACTTTATACTAAGCGAACAGAAGGGCCCGTTCCGGAGATCGGCTATCTTCCTATAACGGTCCTAAATTATTGAGGCAGAAAATATACCCTAACAGGGCCTCAGTCACGTGTCAATTGCGCACTTCGGGTGACTATACCGCACCACCTAATTGCGAACTTCCGGGGATTATACCGCCACCGCCAAGGGTATCCTTCACGCCGCTCACATGGCGTGGATTGGGGCTAAACTAGATGGCTGGGACTCACGAGAAAAAAAAATAAAGGAAGCTGCAGGAAATGCAGTAGCTGCTGCTCGTGAGTCCCAGCCACGGCCAGCTCCAGATTTTTATAATAATAAGAGAATAAGAATAATTAGAGAAGGGCGTGGTCCCAGCCATCTAGTTTAGCCCCAATCCACGCCGTGTGAGTGGCATGGGGGATACTCTCAGCGGTGGCGGGAGTCGCAGGAAATTCGCAACTTAAGTCACAGGAAGTATGCAATTGACACGTGACTGAGGCCCTGTTAGGGTATATTCTCTGCCTCGATAATTTGGGGCCGTTATTCGGAAGATAGCCCAGAGATCTCTGCCTGCCTTGACGCCGCTAGGCATTCCAGGAGTGGAGGAAAGAAGAAGAAAAATATAAAATGCGTCACTGGCGGGTAAGAGGTCATTTACTTCGGCCGCGCAGAAGATAGAAAGCAGAAATGTCAGAGACACTGGAAAGTACTTTATACCAAGCGAACAGAATGGCTCGTTCCAGAGATCGCTTCGTGCCCTGGCGCCGCAAGGCATCAAGGAGTAAAGAAAAAAAAAGAATATAAAAAATGCGTCATTGGCGGGTAAGAGGTTCTTTACATTACTAAATATTGTTGCCACATTTCTAACTGATAGTGAGTTTATTAAAACCATGTTTACTTTCGACTTAGTGACATCATCTTTGCAGTTGATCAGCCACTTTGGGAACATTTGACTTGCCGCCATGTTGTAAACAAACTCGCTTCCAAGGACCACTTTGTCACAAGTGAAGCGATTGGTTCAGTCCCAAGCTTGTAAACCAATAGCTGTTCAAGTAAGTAATAGCTCAGTTAACACAAGGGGCAAACTGTGTTAAACCCGTATACGATAGACAATAGAGAAGTCACCCCCTTGTGGGATGCAATTTTTCGTTATTTTGAAGCCCTACCCTGGTTCTTTCCAGGGGCCGCAATAAAGCCCAGCCATTTTTATAGCCTAATGGCTAAACGCGGTTTCCGGGACCTCTACACGGGTGATCTTCATCCACATGGTGGCACTTTGTGTCATCAGGTGTTTATCGCTTGTGTGATGTCCTGGTGGGGTAGAAAGTCAGTCGTCAGTCAGACAATAGATACTTGCTGGGTAACATAGTTAACATTCCGCTGGCCGCCTTGACTTCTCATGACTTTTTTATGGGTCTCATTTAAGACTGGATTGACCTAGGAATAAATTAGCCTTATAAACTGGTATATTTTAATAGAAGCACGTCGTCATCATCATCGTAATCGCATAGTGTCATCATATGTACCTGTTCTATGTGTTCATTACACGTCAGACTATTGATCGCCTTCCTCATTCATTCTTTCCATCTAGTCTTTCTGTTTCTGTCTCCTTCTTCTTCTTCTTCTCCTTCTCTTGCGTCCGTTCTCCCCCTTCCCCACACACATTCCGTCTTCCTCCCATCTCGCCGCGCCTCTACATTCTCTCTCGCCCCTCTTCTCCCCTTCTCTTCTTTTCTTCTCCTCTTTTCTTCTCTTTTTCTTCTTCTCTTCTTCACTTCTCTTCTCTTCTCGTCTCTTCTTCTCTTGTCTTCTCTCCTTGTCTTCTCTTCTTCGTTTCTCTTATCTTCTTCTCTTGCCTTCTTCTCTTCTTCTTTTGTCTTCTTCTCTTCTCTCCTTCTCTTGTCTTCTTCTCTTCTCTTCTCTTCTCTCCTTCTCTTGCCTTCTTCTCTTATCTTCTTCTCTTGTCTTCTTCTCTTCTCTCCTTCTCTTGTCATCTTCTCTTCTCTTCTCTTCCCTTCTTCTCTTATCTTCTTCTCTTGCCTTCTTCTCTTCTCTTCTTCTCTTCTCTTCCCTTCTTCTCTTCTCTTCTTCTCTTGCCTTCTTCTCTTCTCTTCTTCTCTTGTCTTCTTCTCTTCTCTTCTTCTCTTCTCTTATCTTCTTCTCTTGCCTTTTTCTCTTCTCTTCTTCTCTTATCTTCTTCTCTTCTCTCCTTCTCTTGTCTTCTTCTCTTCTCTCCTTCTCTTGTCTTCTTCTCTTCTCTCCTTCTCTTGTCTTCTTCTCTTCTCTCCTTCTCTTGTCTTCTTCTCTTCTCTTCTTCTCTTGTCTTCTTCTCTTCTCTCCTTCTCTTGTCTTCTTCTCTTCTCTTCTTCTCTTGTCTTCTTCTCTTGTCTTCTTGTCTTATTCTCTTCTCTTATTCTCTTGTCTTCTTCTCTTCTCTTCTCTTCTCTTCTTCTCTTCTCTTATCTTCTGCTCTTGTCTTCTTCTCTTGCCTTTTTCTTTCCTCTTCTTCTCTTGCCTTTTTCTCTTCCCTTCTTCTCTTATCTTCTTCTCTTGCCTTTTTCTCTTCTCTTCTTCTCTTCTCTTCTTTTCTTGTCTTCTTCTCTTCTCTCTTTCTCTTCTCTTCTTCTCTTCTCTTATTTTCTTCTCTTGCCTTTTTCTCTTCTCTTCTTCTCTTGTATTCTTCTCTTTTCTTCTCTTTTTCGCTTCTCTTCTTCTCCTGTCTTCTTCTCTTCTCCTCTTTTATTTTCTTCTTTTCTCTTCTCTTTTTTTTTCTTCCCTTCTCTTCTTGTCTCTTCTCTGTCTTACTCTCGCCTCTATCTATATACCCCCTCTCCCACTTTCATGTTCTTTAACCACCCCTCCTTTTTTTTCCTCCTGCTCTCCATTCTCTCTCTCTCTCTCTCTCTCTCTCTCTCGCCCTCTCTCTCTCTCTCTCTCTCTCTCTCTCTCTCTCTCTCTCTCTCTCTCTCTCTCGTCTCATCGCCCCTTTCTCGCCTGCACGGCATCTAAATGCCAGCCAAGTTCTGTGGCCCTCCAACAAAGCCAACTTGTCAATACTGCCCGAGTTTATCACTCGCTCAGATAATTACAGGGATATAGAAATAACCGAGGCCCCGAGCCGAACTTTTATCACGCCAGCAGCGATCGAAACACACTGGCTGCATCCGTATTCTGTTTCAGGCAGTGAGCAGTTCTAGCTTCCGAAAGCTTCGCGTGGAAACTGTGTATTTGTGGAGTTTATTGATTTATATTTTATCAAATAAATAACGGGATAACAGGTACGTTGTTATTCTCGTTGTTATTTTTTTATGTTATTATTATCAATCACATTAACAGCAATAACATCATCATCATCGTCATCACTATCCATGATGTGTCTTTCCTTTTACGTCACATAGAACTCGTAGTCTCCTATTCGATTCCGTTAAATCTTGTGCAGATGTGTCAGTATCGTGATTGGAAACCAGTCCAGCACGTTTGGCTTTTCCCAGTATTCGTCATCGGGTTTCTCATAGACGTCCGCTAGGGATGGGGTGGTAGGGGGGCTGCGTGGTCTCAAGGTATAGTGCCGCCTCGAGTGCTAGGGATCCCGGGTTCAAGCCCTGGTGAGGGCTAGGATTTTTTTTTTTTTCTGTTCACGTGGACTTCTAGTAATTTCCCCTGGTCTCTGGATAGTAAAATCGGATGCCCGTGTGTATTGTTGCGAACGTAAAACATTCCTTGGCAGTTGGAAATCGAAAAAAGTAGCCTAAAGGCGCCGCCCGCGCAAAATGTATAGTTAAAAATATACCCATAATATTTCAGGATCCGCGCCGGTGCTACGGAGCCCGTGCACTGCGCTGAGCTACCGCTGACTCAGACTCGAGTTAGAAGTAGAACGGAGAACCTATGGGTTACTACCCTTGTGCCATGATGTTGATCTGTTGTTCAAACCTCAAACCTCATAGACGTCCTTTGTCTCCTCAGTCCGTTTGTTTCCCTTTAAGTGCCTGTTTTGTCATCATCTGATTATTACTCTTTAGGATGTGCTCATTATATCGGTCTCTCCGCGGTCTTATGCTTTCCAATTGATATTGGTGAGTAATGAACAGGCAGACAGATTGGCTGGATCTGCACCACTGGGTGGTGAATTGATACATGACAAGGCAGATGTGGTCAAGGCCCTTTGGGAACAAGCAACAGAATCAGTAGAGAAAGAATATTATGGCCTGGAGAGAATGAGGCGCCTGGGTGTAACCAGAGGGTCTGGCCGGCTCACTACACTCAGAGGAAAGGCGTGACGTACATGTAATCAAAATGTTACCGGTAACATCAGTATTGGAACTTTGCGCGCTGACTGCTGAAGATGAGGACGGAACATGCATGGGAATGCCCCGAGTGCTGTGTGTCAATTCTTGACTCAACTCGACTCAACTCACTGTCTTTTAAAAGTAACGTTATGGACCATCAGGCCTGTTTGGAATACAGGACTAGACTTATATTTTATAGACCAACTGACAATCGGTGGGTGATATTGTCAGCACCACACCGGCCGCCTTTGCTTCCCAAGAATGCACTTGGTACCCACACAAGGCTGGGTCGACCTGGAAGCTAAGGTCATTTTCTAAGAAAGCTTGGTATCGCCAGGAACGCTCCCCATGTAAGTGTCTTAAATCTTTTTGATCAGTATGATTTCTATTGACAGCCAAACCGTAATTTTCAAGGTATGCCAGAAATATCAGCTGGTAAGCGTAAGGTTAACAACCCTCTACAAGCTGATGGTTTGGTTTTAATTGATGAAACTGAAATACAGTACAATCAATGGCAGATGTGTGGTTTTAATTAATGAAACTGAAATACAGTACAATCAATGGCAGATGTGTGGTTTTAATTAATGAAACTGAAATAATGTACAAACAATGATAGATGTGTGGTTTTAATTGAAGAAACTGCCTGGCTCGCTAGCGTAGTTGGCTAAACCTGACTTCGCGACGACCGGGTGATGACCTCCTTGTGGTCCAGGTTCACGCCCGGGGGTAGGCAGAAAAGCCACATTTCTCCCAGATTTACGGCATTTATCATGGAATAAACGCGGAAGAGTTGCGAAATCCATAGTACCGAGCCAAAAGGTTAAGAACTCATGGTTTCTGGATATTTAAAAAAAAAAATTTGATGAAACTGAAATACGGTACAATGATAGATGTGTGGTTTTAATTGATGAAACTAAAATACGGTACAGACAATGATAGATGCGTGGTTTTAATTGATGAAACTAAAATACGGTACAGACAATGATAGATGCGTGGTTTTAATTGATGAAACTAAAATACGGTACAGACAATGATAGACGTGTGGTTTCAATTGATTAAACTTAAATACGGTACAGACAATGATAGAAATAAGTGTGACTGAAAATCAAAACAGAGTGGTTAGTTTAAAAACAGCGGTAAAATAGAATTAGGGTAGTGGCCAGACGCTCCTCTGCCGACATAAAGTTTTAGGTTTCAAATCGGCAGCATGACATTTTGTTTTTGTGATTTGGATTTGACAGGATCGATTTACGACAAGGACACTATAGCCTTCTATTTTTATGTTCTCGAGTGTGTCTCAACTTTCTACTTCTTTCTATGAGTGACAATCAGTTCGTGTTGTATAATATGTTAAGCAAGATACTTTTTCCTGACGATCAATAAATATTCTACAGTTGAATGTGGAATTACAAATCGACATCATAGAACTCGGGACACTCCCATAAGCGCTCCGTCCACATCTTCAGCAGCAAGCGAAGAGTTCTTATTCCGATACTACCAGTAACTGTCTGATTGTGTATCTGTCTCGCCTTTTCCTTGAGTGCTGAGCGCCGGCCAGATCCCCTTGTAAGTCCCCGCAGCGCCATTTTCCTCAGACCGTAATGATCTATTTGTGTGCATATTCTACAGTAAAACCTAACAACTAAAGGAACATGTTAATGCACTCCACAAAATC